CTCTCTCTCTTTTCAAAATAGGTTCTGTCCTCGTAGGAGATTGGTAGACGGAATCCGCTCTCTCTCGTCTGCGTCTCTTCAAATGTTCCCTTGGCTCACCCCACCCCTCATCCCCTTCCCGACTATTTCGAGCGGGAGAAGGACGGGAACGGTGTTAGAGAGCTTAGCATAGTCCTGCAACCACTTTAACTGGATTCGGCGGTCTAGGCTTTATCGATATGACGATTGTGCTATAACCCCCGAATCAATTGAGATCAATTATCGCTAGCCACAGCCCACGCCGAGAAAGAAAAGAAAAAGAAAACGAAAAAAGAAACCATCTAGTGTCCGAGATTAATTAGTGTGGGGTCGGCACGGTCGCCGTGCCTTTTTCCTGCGACTCGTCTACCGCTCAGGGACGGACGGGGCTTTTTTAGCACGTCTACACCATTACACCATGAGAAGCTCGAGCAAAAACTTCTTTGGATGGATTTTCGTTTCGAGGCTTGGACGGCGACCCTTCTCGCTTGCCTCCCTTTCCTGAAACCCCCATCTTTTGGGTGACAGACCCCGAAGATCTCGTTAATTTAACCATCACAGAAGAGACGCTCATCCACCACGCAACCCAGTTGCTCGCTCTCGGAATACCACACCCCCTCCTTCCCTTTTACTTTGCTCCCCTTCTCGAGCAGCATCGTCTATCCCTGTGTAAATTGAACACTGGACATTAGCCCAGGGGGTTTACGCGGTCCGTTTTAGTTTTAATAGCGGGAGATCTCCCTTGCCTACCTCCTCGCCATGGCCCTCAACTTTAGCGAGGGGGACGGGGAGGAGAAGGGAGGGAGAAAACCACTGCTTGGGTGGAGTTTTGGACTCTGTCTCCCGCTCTTTCCTGGTGCTCCTTCTTCTTTTCTCTTTTAAGTGCTTGCATCAATACATTGTAAGGTTGAGTGCAGTGCGACTCTAACGTGCCACGCCTGTACCCTGGGAACCAGATTATGAGGACTTGATGCCGTCGCTGGCTCCGTGCCCTTTTCCCTTTCCCATCCATGTATGTTCGGCGTATTACCAGCCGCTTTGCGTTCACCTTGCCATCCTATGCCGTGTTCACCTTGCTATGGACCAACTGCCGTGGAGGAAACATCCTGTGAAGGGTGAACGGGGAAGGGCAAAGGACGGACGGCATGAACCAGGAAGTTGCGGCGGGAAACCCAAGGCAAGGGTGGAGGGGGTGAAGGAGGGCAGAGGAAAAGAACATACGGCATAGAAGGGACTTGGGATGAAATCGGGACTTGGGGAAGATGGAAATAGAAGAGTGATACAAAAAGACGAAACGTCAAAAGGGCGAGGGGACGGCAGAGAGAGAAGGCCTTGCATGATGGCGCGGCCGTACAAAACAGGTCGTACACTCGATACCTGCCCTCTCTTGCTCGTCCTCGTCCAAAGGGTTTTGCCGTCCCTCTTGTCCCGATTCTCGCTGCGGTGAGCTTCATTGCGGAGGCATGGTCCTCCTCCCAGAGCCTCTCAACAAGGTTGTCTAAGCGCCCGCTTTTGCTCGTGGGGCTCTACCACTGTTTTCAGTCTGTTGGGAAAAGGCGGGACAATTGCGGAGGTAGAACCAAACACCCAAGGACGACTAATAAGCGTGGAGCACGAGACATCGAGGACCAAGCACCAAGCACCAGGCACCAAGCACCAAGCACCAGGCACTTCGTGCAATAGCGCCCGCGACGGCCACGGGACGGTGGTGGCGGCGGCGGCGGAGGAGGCGGCGTAGGCGGTGGCTGCAGCGGTGGCGGGGAAATGAGCGAGGGACGCAACATCCTGCGATGAAGGGGATCTGTGCGGTGGTGCATGAACATGAACTTGCTCGACTCATGACCTCGAGACACCCACAGATACAAATGCGGATATTGTGCGTGCAACGGCGGCGGCCGGGGTCTGATTTTTCTTCTTCTTTTCCTTTCTTCTTTTTATTTTCTCTTCATCCCGGCTTGTTTTTTTCTTTTTTTTTTCCTTGGTTTCGTCTAGTTACCGACCATCAATACTTCCTTCAAGCCTCATCTCTGCATCATGCAGTGGATTGTCGACGTCTGATCTGTTGTTACTGCGCAAATCGGCCCAAGGCTAGAGAAACTGAGGGTTTCCATGGAATGAATGGCCTAGTGTGTGGGGAAGTGAGCATCACGGCGGCACAATAGAGGGTAACACTCGCCACCTCGTTTTTGCCTTCTTCTTTTCCGTGCCAGTGTGCCAGCCTCCCTCGCTTTCCACTTCCCTTCATCCTCTTCATCCTCTTCTTTCTCTTCCTCGCCGTCCTTGTTGCTTCTCTGAGTGGGGCAAGGGACTGTGCAGCTCATCTCGCGAATATCTGGTATGACTTTGATTACCTTGGTTTGATAGGCATGTCCGAGCCTATGACGCATCTCTGCTAGACTCAAAAAAAAAAAAAAGAAAAGAAAAAGAGTCAAGCAAGACTGAGATCTCTTGGCGAGCAAAGATTCATGTAGATCGACGAGTCAGAAGCGTAAGCCCTCATCCCAACGGGAGGGAGCAATCGACTTCCTTCTCGAATATTGACCCCGCATTAGAGATAATGCGCAACACCTTCTCCCCGCCCGCACATCGGGGGCAGGATTGATTTTTCCATCCTCATGTCTCGACCCCAAACGTTCCATCCTTCGGAGGGGTAAAATGGAACCGGCCTCTCGATCGATGTCATGAGCCCTAGAGACGCTGCCATGGAAAAGAGAGTTGAAAGCAAAGGGCTAAATAATAAGATGCAGCTAATTAGTGCTGGTCGAGGCAGAGACCACGGGCCAGAATAGGTCAAGCCAAACGTCGAAGCGATTGATGGGTGCGTTGGCCAAGTGCTTGTCTTGGGTGCCTTCCCGCTTTTCTGCCATGCTCCAAATGTTTCAAGCTCAAAATAGCAAGGTTTCATTGGAGCTGTCATTTCCGTGCTGGTCCTGGTCCTCAGATCCATAAGCCAGATCTGATATACACACCATAGATATCGGGGCATATTAAGGCCCGGACTTGGCTGCCCACCCTCCACTTTTGAACGGCTTGGGAGGAGGAGGGGGAGGGGAGGGGACACACGTCGCTGCTGCTGCTAGTTAGTGTCGAGGTCCCATGCCCGAGGGCCGGTGCTGGCGTTGGTTTGAAATTGGCCGTCAGTGATGGGAACGGTTTCCTCATCGAAATCCAACACTAACACGAGCGAGTGATCCATTCCCCGAGCTCGTGTGGGGCAATTGGATGCCATTGGTATCGCCAAAGCACTTGAAACTCTCAGAAAGGCAAAACGCCCGCTCTTCCTCTGGTGCATCATTTCACACACTCTCCACTGACCTCCGGCCGAATGTGAGGGTCTACCCTCCATTCGACGCCGATAGAGTTCCTAAACCCACCAGACACGATTGACTACCCTGGGGGTGATAAGATGGTGCACACTTTTACCACCCTCATCGACATTTCCATTTGCGATTGCGAAAGAGGGTGTTGCCGTCATCTAAACCCCTGGTCGGCCCTACTGTCGGCCAGGCACCACCCCTCGTCGTGAGATGTGTGGAATCACGATAGCGTTTTGTAAGATTATGGGTGGGCCGGGTTAAACGTTTTATCGAAAGGGGTGGAATAGTATTAAAAAGAAACCCCGCCAGGCCTCAATCATTAGCGGATGGGTTTCTACGCTGTTCCCAATGGCGTTCTCGATTGAGAGATCTGCCGTCCAATTTTTGATCCGGGGAGGGAGACTGTGGAGGTAGGTGTCCACGGATGTGTCTTTGGGGATCCGTGTGGGTGGGTGAAGGTGAGCAGCGATAGGCTTCTAATACCTGCACACATCATTTTCCACAGCCGCACAAACTGGTGAAACAAGATCAAATTCTCCCTATTGGATCCCCCATAAAAGGGCTTTTTGACTTCAACCTTGATCCCGCGGCGAGGAGAACTCCACACCAGCAAGACCAGATGGTAATGGATCCAACCATGAATGTTAAGAAACGGGAAACGGTTGGAAGGGGGAGGTGCTCGTCATGAAAGGAGGCAGCAAGTGAGTGAGATGACCCGACCCTCTTGGAACAAAGAGAATTCTGAGCAAGGAGGGCGGTGTGGGCAGGACATCTGGACAGGACATCTGTTGTGTGGATGATCCTCCATCGCAAGTTGCGCTTAACCCTAGTCAACTGGCAGGCAAGGCCTGAACCTTTTGAGCCATCTCAATTGATCGTTTCAGGCAGCGCCTCGGGGGAAGAAACACACATGGGGCAAAGTCCCGGCCACGAAAGCCACAGGCAGAAGCAGGGCAGGTCGGTTTTGGGCCTAACTCAATACGGGTGGGGTGAATAGCGCCCGTCCGAGCACGCAAAGAGAGCTTGTTCGCAGGCTGCCTGGTGCTGAGGCAACGGAAAGTTTTGTGGGGTGAGAATCGAGGCTGAAAGCATCGAGGCAGAGGATGCCTATTATTTAATGTATTTTGAGATCTGAGCGTTAGAGTTGGCTCTTCCGGCGTTGAAAAACTCCCAAGGACAGTCTTCGAATGCGGGGGAGCTATCATCATTTTCGCCCTTGATTTGGCGGACCTCTCTGAATCCCATTCACTCAGCTGCTTCCGAGATGATACTACTATCTTCACTCCTCCCTCGCACCCGAGGTCCGCTTCAGCCTGAGCCTTCAGGCCTAAAACGGCTGCCAAAGTCCGGGTTGCACCTGTTGACAGCCGGGAATAGATGCCACTCCTCGAAAGACAAAGCTTCAGGATAGGTTCGGCCAATGAGATGCTGCGGTTCCCAGATCCTGAACAAAGGGACCGACCTCGTGCATATGATTATGAGAGAACATCTCGAATCACGAGAGGAGAGAGTCTTTTGGGCTGCCACGAAACTCGCAATTGGTCCTTCTAAATGTTTGCCTCTCTGCTGTCCTTGAGCAGCAGATTCTTCGCAAAAGCCCCATCCAGAACGATCAACTCGAGCTCCTTGATTTCCACTCTACGTCCCTATTCCACTACCGCCATCATGGGAGCTATCGCCCGGGACCCCAGCACCCTCTCCAACTATGCCGCTTGGCTTACCAAGCACACCACGGCCAATTTCACCATTGATTTCGAGGAGCATGCCCTCAAAGGCCGCGTCGACTATCGCATCTTGTCTCGCTCCCAGAAGGAGAGCAAGGAGATCATTCTCGATTCGAGCTTCGTCTCCATCAAATCCGTATCCGTGGGGGTTCCCCTGTGAAATGGGAGCTCAAGGAACGCCACCAGGCCCTTGGCTCCCCTCTGCACATCTCCATCCCGGAGGGACCGCCGAGGGCGATGTGGTTGACTTGAGCATCGAGCTCCAGACCACAAAGGAGTGCACCGCCCTGCAATGGCTGACCCCGCGCAGACCTCCAACAAGAAGCATCCTTACATGTTCTCCCAATGCCAAGCCATCCATGCCCGCTCCCTGTTCCCCTGCCAAGATACGCCCGACGTCAAGTCGACCTACACCTTCAAAATCACTTCCCCCTTGCCCGTCGTGGCGAGCGGCGTGCTGCAGAACGAGAGCAAGGCTGAGAGCGGCGCCACCACCTATGTCTTTGAACAAAACGTCCCCATCCCCTCTTATCTTTTTGCCCTAGCCTCGGGCGACATCGCGACGGCTAAGATCGGCTCACGGAGCAAGGTCGCCACCGGCCCCGAAGAGCTCGAGGGGGCCAAGTGGGAGCTTGAGAGGGACATGGACAAATTCATGGAGGCTGCCGAGAAGGTTGTTTTCCCTATAAGTGGGGCGAATACAATGTCTTGGTGCTCCCTCCGAGCTTTCCCTATGGCGGTGAGTGTTGTGAGAAGGGAGGAGGGCCTTGTGTCGCAGAACTCAATATAGACCGTTTTTCTAACTCGCACCTAGGAATGGAGAACCCCGTCTACACGTTTGCCACGCCCACCATTATCAGCGGAGACAGGCAAAACGTCGACGTGATTGCCCACGAGCTTGCCCATAGCTGGAGTGGAAACCTTGTCACCAGCTGTAGCTGGGAGCACTTGTACGCTAGCCCCAAACCTCCCTTTTCGTTGGATCTTGGAATGAATGCTCATCCGTCACCCGCAGTTGGCTCAACGAAGGATGGACAGTCTATCTGGAGCGCCGAATCGGCGCCGCAATTCACGGCGAGCCGGAGCGTGACTTCTCTTCCATTATCGGCTGGAAGGCACTAGGTATAATCCCTTCCCCGGTGCCGAGATCCCTTTCTTCCATTGCCTCGTTCCCGACGCGGATTGCGCTAACCACCCTCAAACAGAGGATTCGGTGGCGCTCTTTGGTGCTGACCACGACTACACAAAGCTCATCCCCACTCTCAAGGGCGGCGTTGACCCCGACGATGCGTTCAGCACCGTTCCCTACGAGAAGGGTTTCCACTTCCTCTATTACCTCGAGAAGCTCGTGGGACGTGACAACTTTGACAAGTTCATCCCTCACTACTTCACCAAGTTCTCCGGAAAGTCACTCGACTCCTTCGAATTCAAGGAGACGTTTGTATCCTTTTGAGGGTCTCGGTGACGAGGATATCACCAAGAAACTTGCTGAGATAGAATGGGAAGGTCGCTTCAACACGCCTGGGTTGCCGCCCAAGCCCGACTTCGACACCTCTTATGTTGATCAGTGCTACCGCCTCGCGGAAAAGTGGAAGGATGCTGTACGTATCGATTCATAACATGCTCCATCCCCCAATGCTGTCTTTGCATTGCAGCTTTACTATTTTCCCCCATACTAATTATCCGCAGTCCTTTCAACCGTCCAAGAGCGACGTTGAATCATTTTCTGGAAACCAGAAGCTTGTCCTCCTCGAAGCCATCCAAAAGTTCGACCCCCTCTCTCCACAGAGCGTGCCAGGGTCCTCGGCGACACCTATGACTTCCTTGCTTCCCAAAATGTCGAGCTCAAGGCCGCCTACTATCACATCGCCATGGCTGCCCGTGATTCGACCTGCTATACCGGCGTCTCGGAACTGCTCGGCCATGTCGGTCGCATGAAGTTTGTGAGGCCACTGTTCAGGGGCTTGAACAAGGTGGATAGGGAACTTGCCCTGCAGACTTTTGAAAAGAACAAAGATTTCTACCACCCCATCTGTAGGGCCATGGTCGAGAAGGACCTAGGAACTGAGTAAGCAGTACCTGGGTACAAGTAGGGTCAAAATGTCATTTGACGAATGTCCCCTAAGAACGGACACCTCTGGAGGCCTTGGCCCCGAGATCCTTCCCCAAACATTTTAATCTCGGTGAAGGAGAGCGGGACGAGGGTCGGATGGAACTTAGTGCTCATCTATCGTGGGGGCCTCGAGCATAGGTGTGTGCTTCGGGCGTCAACATTGATGTGCATAGGGTCACTCTTTTTGCGATGGATAGGGTCCTGATAAAGCGTGTTCATCCGTGATTCGTAAAACGACATGATAGAAAGAAACGAAAAACAATAAAGAGAAAACAATCTCGCTAAACAATCGTGAAAACTCGTAGCACATACAACAGACTTATTCGTAAACTTTTCTCGTTCGTATGCAATCATGAACAACAGACATAAAACGCGAGAAACAAGGAAACACAGTAAACAGAAACAATCGTCAAAGAAAACGGCTACGCTCCTCTCTCCTCCATCAAGTAGTTGTAGTAAAGAATCGCTTGAAAGCGGCCCTGAACCCGCTCTTCTTGTCATCTTCCTTCTCCTTGGCCTTCATCCTTTCCTCCTGCCGGGCCTTTCTTCTCGCTTCCTCGGACCGGGACGTCTCGCCCACATCCGTCTTCGACCTGGATAATTTGTCGTCCGACCTTCGAAGCTTGTCCTCGGATTTACCACGACTCTTGCTGTCGTCATCCTTGGTCTTGGTCAGCTTAGTGCGGGACACGTCTTCGGAGCGTCTGCTGCTCCGACCGAGCTTGGAGCGGCTGGTGTTGGATCGCTTTGGCACCTCGCGAGAAGAGGAAGGTGGAGGCTCTGGAACGGAGGCAACATCCTTGGGGCCGGCGAGAACCCCGCGGTCCTTCATGTCAAGGAACTTCTTGGGTGACTCGTCAGGAAGGGCAGGGCGCTCAGTCTGGCTGCGAGAAGTACCAGGGCGAGACCTGCGGGTACTGCGGTCTCTCTCACTGCTATCCAGATCTTTGCCCTTGGATTCTCTTGGCGTTCTGGGGCTTTCTTGGACTCTCTCTCGCTCCTTCTCGCGCTGGCGACGCTCCTCTCGGCGCTTTTCGTGGGCAGCTTGCTCTTCGGGTGTCCGATGGCGTCTCCTGGACCGCTCCGAAGCGTCCGCGCCGCTCTTGGGGGTGCGCGGGGGCGTCCTGGTAGTCGATTCGGGAGGGGTCCTTGCCGATCGATTGCTATCGGACCTGGGTCGATGCCTCTGGGACTGGGACGAGTGACGGCGGCTGTCTGTGCCTTCGCCTCCGTCTCTGCTGGACCGCGAGTGGTGGCTAGATCTGCGTCTACGGCGGCGCTCTTCCCGAGTTCTTTCTTTATCCTGGTCGTCGGCAGAAGTCTCTTTGTCTGTAAACAAGTCAGCAACAGAGCGGCGCAAGGCAAGCTCTACACTAGGTCTCCCTGTATCATCAGCAACGACTTGGGAAGAATCAATCTGCGAATCAACACGGCGGGCGACGGTAGAGTCTCCCCCTTCTTTTTCTCGTCCAGATCGTCACTCATGAACAGAGGCGGCGCCTTCTCACGAGTGGGGCTTCCGGACGGGCTAAGAGCCTCGACTGTGGCATAAATAACCACAGCCGCGGCGATGTCCTCCTCAGCACGTGCAACGGACAGCTTTCGAGCCCGACGGAGGCTCTTAGCACGGGACATTGCTGTCAGAGGAGGGGCATCGGAGAGCGACGGAACGACCACCGGAGGAGTGGGCGCCCGCTCGACACCAGTGAGAAGAGAAGCTAACGGGCTCTTGCTATCCTTGAGGCTTATTCCCTTGCTCCTGTCAATGTCAACCTTGAACGGTCTCTCGTTGCCCTTCTCTAGGATGGGGAACGACTCGGTGACATCCGGAGACTTTTCACTGGCTACCACCGGAGTAGGTGCGAGGAGAGGGCCCCGGCTTTCAAAAATGACGGGGAATCTTGAAGTTGGGCTCGAGGGAGGGCCCTTGTTGCTTCAGATTGAGGGAGACCCTCATCTCTAGCCTTGCCCTTATCCCGAGAGGAAAGGCGACTAGCCGCCACGAGTCCACCTGCGGCGGCTGCCCCAGCTGCCACTGCACCAAGAATCCAGCCCTTCTTTTCTTTAGGCTCTTCTTCAGAAAGCCCAGTCGAGGACTCCTGGGGCTCTGCGGGCGGCGCTGGCTCCGTGGCTGCAGCCTCGACAGCGGGGCCTGCCAAATCAGTCGACAGAGCTCTTGTATGGATCTCCGACTGGGAAGACGCGGCAGGATCTGAATAAGGCGCGGCAATAACTCTTTCGTCTGGTTGAGTGGCTTCGACGGGCTCTGAGGTGACTATGGTTGAATCTTGAGGTGGTTCTTGAGATGCAAGATTCTCCAAGTTTTCAATGACGGGAACTTGGGTGCTGAACGAGGCATCGGGAGCTGGATCTTCCGCGGCGGCATCCCTCTCTAAAGCGTATGTTTGGCCGGAGACATCGTCAACCGTCTTCTCAAAGCGCGGGGATTCGGGGGCAATGCCATCTATGGCTGCCAATCCCCGAGAAAGAGGCGCTTCCTGGTTTCGTGGGGAGGGCTCTTCAGCGGTCTGCTCATCTAGCTCGTTGGCGTGTTCGACTTCAGAGGGTTCTTCGCGGAATGCGGACTGCTCGGGGATGGCTGCTCAGGTACCAAGACCAAGCTCTCCTCAGTTTCAAAAGTCCTCTCTGGGGGGTTGGATGGCTTGAGAGATTGTATGAGAAAGATCAGCTTCAGGGGCCTCGGGTTGTGAGACGATGACGAGGTCGTCCGACAGGCTAGTCTGTTCTCTCGCAAGAATAGGAAACTCCTCAAGATTGTCTGGCAGTGAATCATCAAATTGATCCTCAAGAACAGCCCGATCGACAATGATAGGGTGTTCATCTAATTCATCCACAGACGATGATAGCTTGTCGGCCTCGGATTGCTCGACAGGCGTCGAGGTTTCGTGCTCAGGTTCGGACTCTAGAACAGCCAAGGTTGGTTCATCAGCAGCGGCCTCCTCGCTCACAACAGCATGGATAGCTGGAGTAGACTCATGACTCTGGACGTTCGGGCTATCTGCCTCTTGGGCAGGCACCGGCTCTTCCTCCGTGATGTCTACACCAGTCACAGATTCGGTATCCCGAGCGACGGCATCCTCGACGTCTTCAGTAGTCACAGTGCTGACATGTTCCCCAGCCTCAGGTTCGAGATTGCGAGAAGGAGCAAGTTCAGCCACCTCAACAGCGTCAACAGCGTCAGACTCGATTTCCGTGGCAATAGCGGGCTCAGGTTCCTCAGCAACGGTTGATTCAGCCTCGCTAATGGTGTGAGGCTCAACTTCTTGAGAGCTTACGGGCTCAGGTTGATCAGCAGGAGTCGATTGAACCTCAAGAGCGACTGGAACAACATCGTCGACAGTGAGACGCTCGATCTCTTTACAGAATCAGGTTCAGATTCGACAGCGGGCTCAACCTCGGCGGTGGGAGGCTCAACCTCTGCGGCAGTGGGCTCAGCTTCCTCGATGGGAGGCTCAACTTCGGCGGTAGGAGGCTCAACTTCCTCGGTGAGAGGCTCAACCTTTTCGTTGTCAGGCTCAACTTCCTCGAGGGTGGCAGATGCGACATCCTCAGCAACAAGCTCAGGTTCGGTTGCAGTTATAGGCTCGGCTCCCTCGGTAACAACAAAGTCGATCTCCTCAGTACCAGCAGGTTCCACTTCATTACCGGAAGCCCCAACTTCATCAACAGTGGAGAGTTCTACTTGTGTATCGATAGGCTCAACCTCTTGGACAAGTGTCGGCTCGACTTCTTCCTCCAAAACGGCCTCGGTAGAGTCGGGGATAACATGTTCGGCCTCGACGGTGGCGCCCTCAAGATCGCGAGTAGCTGTAGGCTCAACCTCATCGCGCGCAGTAGGCTCAGTCTCTTTAGCAGGAACAAAGGCAGGGTCCTGGGAAGCAGAAGCCTCCGCCTCGTCAAGAGGAACAGGCTCAACCTCCTCGGAGGCGGGCTTGGGCGCATCCTCGGCAGTAGCTATCTGGGCTTCTTCAGGATTGATAAGGTCCGTCTCGATAGCAGCCACAGCCTCAACCTCTTCAACAGCAACGGGCTCTGGTTCGTTAGCTAGCGCGAGCTCAGCTTCCCTAGGGGTGGCAGGCTCAATCTCTTCAACCATGGTGGCGAGAGCGGGCTCATCGACCGCTGCGGCTTCAACTTCTTCCGAAATGGCTTCTCGAGGTAGTGTGATATTCTCAATGGCCGGCTCAGTGGGCTCAACTGTCTCGATGACTTCGGCTTCAGGATCAAGGGGCAAACTTTCCTCGGCGGAATCCTCGATAGGTGCAAATGATTCGCGGCTGGATGGGTCAACGTCGCCTGCTGTCTCAGAGATCTCCTCGGAGGGTTTGAGTTGTTGTTCATCAGTAGCGGCGGTTTCTGTGGGGTCCGAACCATCGATCGCTTCTGCCGTTTTGGCAACGTCGTTGAGGTCGGCGGCAGAATCGCCAATATCCGCGAATACAGCAGAATCATTCAACCCATCTGTGGGAACGATGTCCTCAGACGAATCTATGATAACAAACTCTTCGTCTTCGCTCGCGGCAGCAGCGGTGGAAGCCTTGGTGACAATAACGATATCATCAGGACCCTGTTGCTCCTGAGGTTGAGAAATTGAATTGTCGTCTGCTTCGGCGACAGGAGATTCTTCCGATACTACCTTGGCCTCATCGAAGGCGATGATCTCTGGAAGCGCCTCGTCCAGCTGACTCTCTTCGGCCAAAGGCTGCTCGTTGCCGGCAGACTCCAGGACATCAGTCTCTAGGGCGGGGCTGTTGTCCTGTGCCCCTAATTCTTCAGCGGCATCAGCAGCCTCCTCGGGTTCCGCCTCAACTAGGGTTTCAGGAGCAGAGGACTGCTCAGGAAAATCATCTTGGGTGTGAGATTCAGCAACTGCTTCTGAATCTCCTAAGGGCTTTCCAGCAGTCTCCTCGTGGGTATCGTCTTGGTTCGCAGGTTCTGGCTCATCGCCCATCTCGGCGCCTGCGCTTTCTTTACCATCATCGGATCCCGCCTCGATAGTGACCGCGTTCACTTGGGGCTCCAAGACTTCTGCCTCCTCAGCCTCGACGGCGGACGTAGTCTCCTCAGTAGCGGGAACGTCGACGCTGATTGGCTCGCTCGCAGACACCTCGGTTTCTTGATTCTCGGCCGATGGAGCAGAAACATCGTCAGCCGTCACTTCAGCGGCCTCGGCAACTTCATGAACTTCATCGGGCGTTGCTGGTCCCTTAGCTGGTACGTGACTGTCTAGGGACCTGTCTTGTAGTGTTGCAAGCTCCTCATCAACAGGCGCGGACTCTAGAGCTTCAGTGGGCTCCGGAGACTCTTGGGCAACAGCGGTCGGGTCCTCAGGGCTTTCAGTATCGGTGTTGACAGGCAAGTTATCGTGAATTGGTGCTGCCACCACCTCTTCAGAGGCATTTTCGGTTGGCGAATTTGCCAAGGCGGCCGGTTCTGATTCAACAGGCGCCTCCGCGGCTGCTGGTATACTAGCCTCAGTGTCTTCGAACTGACTAGTTTCAAGGTTGATATCCTCAGGCTGGGCATCGGGTGCCGTCTCAGCACCCGATTCTTCGACTTGGCCCTCGGCAGTTTCCTCTAGGACGAATGTTTGGTCTTCCAAGGGAGTCTCAAGCTCGGAAATTTCGACAACCTCAACGGTAGGCGAGATGGACCGTTCTTTGTCATCTCCGGCGATGTCCAGCTCAGTAGCTGACTCACTAACGTCCTCGGCTTGTGCGGTAAGCTCACCCGCCTCAGCGTGCTCGGCGTCTGGTTCGGGCGCCTCAAGAGTGTCCGTTACCTGACGTTCCTGTAGGGGCATCTCTATCGTTTCATCGGAGACTTCTGGAACTGGCAGAACGGGTTCATCCTCTGAGGTTGGCAAAGATCCTTCCGTAGCCGCGACAGGCTGATCCTCGAGAGTTGGCGTATCAAAGGATACCTCTTGGCTTCTTTCGGAAGGTGCCTCGACATCAGCTTCGAGAGGCAGCGCTGCTACAGACTGATCAGGAGTCACTTCGTCGACCGTTTCTGCGTGCTCTACCGGAATCTCCTCGATGGGTAAGGACGAGGCTACCGGCTCGGAGGCGACTTCTTCGCTGCTCGGAACTGCCTGCTCTTCAGCGAGAACCTCTACATTGTTGCTCTCTTCGGTGACGACTTCAGAGGGAGGCTCAATATCTCTTGGCTCAACCTCCACAGCAGCGGCGGTGACCGTCGACACTTCGAGGTCGTCTAGGTCTTCCTTCACAGTGACGTACTCGGCTTCTCCGGCAGAGGGCTGCGGTGCTGTGTCCTCCGTCACGTCAGGAAGCAAGCCCACGGTATCCAGGGTTTCTGGGGAAACAACTTCGGGCTCGCTATTTTGCGGGAGGGTCTGGCTAGTAGCTAGTTGTTCTTCAACAACCTCAGCATCATCGTCTTCAGCCAGGGCAGGTTCCTCGCCTGAAGCAGTCTCTTGGACGGGGTTGCCGTCGCCTAGCGCGGGCGTATCGGCAGGTGTGCTTTCAGACTCCACCTGGGGCTCCTGGTCAAGATCCGACTCAGCCGGTGGCTCAGGAAGGGAAGATTCTTCAAGCTGGGTCTCCACATCCGGAGTATCTACTGTCTCCTCTTTGGGGAGGGTGGTGTCCTGAGAAGCGTGTTCTTCGTCCTGAGTGGTCGCGAGCACGGATTCAGAGGTATCGGCGTCGAGTTCAACTACCTCAGTAGGCTTCTCAGTTTCCAGCGTCGGTTCCTCGGCGGATGTGGGCGTTGCCGGAGGCTCAGTTGCTGTAGCTTCGGTGATATCACCAGACCGGTCCTGCACGAGTTCTTCGGCAATAGGATCCACCGGGCTTCTGTCGAGAGAGTCTGGAAGCGCAATCTGGTCCCCGACGGGTGGTTGTTCAAACTCAACGGCAGATACCTCCGCTCCCTGAGCTTCATCAACTAAAGTTGGAGGCAAGGGCTCCTCAAGCTCAGGTACCCCTTCTGCGGCTTCTACAGAAGCAGGATCGTGTTCAGGGACATCAGAGATTCCGACCGCCTGCTCTGACTCGACCTCCGCGATTACCGCGCTAGCACTCTCACCAATGGAAGACTCCGCTGAAGCTGGGGTTGCTTCAACTTCTTCGACAATTTCCAAAGGATCGGTGCTTATAGCAGACTCAGCAATGGTCTGGTCTTCGACGGCGAGGGCTAAGTCCGTCGTGGATTCCACCGCGGCCGCAGGCTCCACTAGATCCTCACTTGCAGATTCGATAACAGTAGGCTGTGGAAGGGGCTCTTCGAGTTCTGGAGTGGAGTCTTCGATGATGGGAGCTTCAGCAACTTCTTGGACCAGATCAACGACAGCCGCTTCGGAGGCGACTGGCTGAGCAGCGTTCTCAACGGGCTCAGCTTCGCTGTCTGAATTGGCGACAAAGGGAGGAGGCTGCGATGCCTCGGGCTCTGCGGGGTCGGCAGCATCCTGGGGTACTTCGATGTCATCGCGATCGGTGACATCCAACTCCCCTGACACTTCCTTTTCCACAGGCTCTCCAGTGTTCGCCTCTGCTGGGGTAGTCTCTTGTTCGACCAGCACCCCATCTCCAACAGCCTCGGCGTGATCAGTTGGATCCAGCGCAACAGGAGTATCCTCAACAGCAGGGTCGCTTAGAGAAGTCTCCAGTGCCGCATCATCGTCAGTAATCTGGGCAACCACAACCTCGGGGAGAGCGGCTCCCCAGTACCAGCGCTTTCGGCGGGGGCATCTGTGACCTGGCCAGCAGCCTCATCAACGAGAGCCTCGGCGGGAATGATAGTTTCTTCAGAGACATCAACAGCTTGTTCTTGAGATGGCGTCTCGTCTAGCGGCGAGTCTGAGACAGGTTCCTCGGATATGGGCGCTGGAGATTCCAGCGACTTGTCGGCTGTGCTTGGGTGCTCTTCCTCGGGGTGCTCTTCGACGATTAAAGGAGAGGGATCTCGACATTTTCAGCTTGTTCAACTTCACTTTCATCTTCAGGAATGTCGCGAGGAGCGGTAATCTCCTCTAGGGTCTCCACAGCCTCGGAACCGGCCTCGTCGGCAGCGTGATGAGATGGGTCTTCGTCCTGGTTTTCAGCTGAAGGTTCTAATTCCGATTCCTCGACAGGTGCTTGAGATGCATTTGAGGTCTCTTCCATGACGAGATATGTAGCTGCATCTGCAACGGGTGCGTCATCGCTGGGTGTATCAGAGGAAACTTCTACCGCTTCGGGTTCCTCGCCATCTATGGGGGCAATTGGCTCCTCTAGAGGAATTTCGGCGACCTCGGTGATATTGGCACTTGGCAGGTTGGACGTCTCCTCCAACGCAGAGTCCTGGGAAGCGGGCTCCTCGACGGCAGTCTCAACTGGAGACGATTCTTCATCCCCAATCACTTGAACGCCGGCTAAAACAGTTGTGTCATCGGTCTGAGCTACTTCGTCGGCTGCGTCAGAGGCATCAGGAGCAGGAGAGGTTGATGGGATGTCAGTCGAACCGTCTTCGGGGTTTCAACGATTGCGGTCTCTGGCAGGGCGACTTCGGTGTCTTCAGCCGCAGTTGTAGGCTCCGTGGGTGCAGGCTCTCCAGAGACGGTTTCTGAATCAGGCGTCCCTTCAACGCGAGCCGAGCTTTCGCCTTGCTCAGGTTCACCAAGCGTTTCTCCTTCGGCTATAGATGTAGATGATTCCTCGGTAACTACTACATCGGCTGCAGGCTCAGGCGATTCAGGATTTTCAGATGCCGCAGGAATATCTTCAGAAACAACTTCTGCATCGGCTGATTCCCCGTTCTGTTCAAGATGAGAATCTTCTGTGGCATTAGGGCCGTCGAGAGGCCCAACGGTGGAAACAGGGTCAGAAGGACTATCGCTCTCAGGCTCCTCAGGGGCGCTTTCAGTGACGAGTGGGTTCTCGGTAATGTCTGACTCTGGGTGGGCTTGGCCATCGTGGCTTGTCTCATCAACGACAATGCTAGATACAGAACTCTCAACTATTGTGGCCTCTGGAGGAGCATCAACAACCTCATCCTCGTTGGGATCCTCGGGTGTCGAATCCAGAGAGCGGTCGGCAGATGATTCGATAGGGATAGCGTCAGAAACATCTTCGGGAACTGGCGCGGGCAATATGTCCTGTGCCGTGACGGGAGGAGTTTCTGTATCCTCGCTAGATTGTGCAGCTGTGTCTTGCTCGGCGGGTGCGGAGGTCTCAGTCGACGGTTCTACGATCGCTTTCTCGGCAACAAATGCTTCGGTCGTCAAACTATCGCCTTCAGTCGAGTGGCTTTCTTGCACGACCTCAACATCCGAGCTGGTTTCGACAGGTACTACTAGTGGCTCAGCGTCCAGGCTAGGTTCAGAGGGTTCCGCTAGCAAAACGGCCTCAGCGACAGCGTTGGTAGGCTCAATGTCTTCAGCAGCAGCATCCTCATGCTCAATCACCTCAGGCGAATCTGAAGGCACAGAATCTTCAGCCTTCCCGGCTACGATACCATCATCGAGGACCAGAGATTCGGACTCTGGCTCCAGGTTTTCAGGGACGGTAGAGGGTGGCTCTAGCTCGGCGAGAGCAGAGGGTTCCCCAGCTTGGAGCTCACCTGCAGGCGGACTGTTGTCTCCCGAGGGATCGGCATCTGCAGGAGCAGCTTCTTCTTCAAGAGTGGCAACAGGATCAGCTTGAATGAGCGTATCTTCCACCTCGAGAGTCGTCTCGGCGGGGCTATCCGCATCCACCTCGGTGGGACTTTCCTCGTCTATGACCGGTTCAGACTGCTCAACCGCCGGAGGAGCATCTTGATCTTCAGGCAACACGGCTGCGTCGTCTGTCTCAAGCAGCTGGACAGTCACGGGTTCCTTGATGTCCTCGGGAGTGGGGATATCAGTGAGAGTAGGTTCTGCCTCCGAACTTAAGTCTTGGGGAGCAGATTCAGGCTGGGTTGCCTCCACAGCGCCATCAGCTCCTCCTAGGTCTTCCCCTCCTGCATCCTCGGAATCTTCTTGGCTAAGAGGCACTACCGTGTCCCGAGCGGCGTCGTCTGAAGAGCTTTCGAGTGCCAGAGCCGTAGTTTGAGCAGTCGCCTCTTCACCCAGAACTTCGGGCTCAGCTGCAATATCCGCCGCGCTGCTCTGCTCTTTGTCGTCAAGTTGTTCCGCAACCACATCAGACACTTCAATAGGTGCGGGGTCAGACTTTTCGGTTGGGACGGGGATGGCGGGTTCACCAGCAGCATCATGGTCTACCGTTTCTTGATCAGGGTCCTCGTCTAGAGCCTCGGCTTGTGTAGGGCTGGCCTGGTCTTCAACAACCTCAACGGTCAGTTCCCCGGGAGAAGGGGTAGTATCCGCCGCTGGCTCCGTTGTATCATCGTCATGTTTCTCCTTGTCATCCGAGACTGATTCGACGGTGTCTTCGGCCGAGGGCTCCTGTATGGCTGGTGCCTCCGACGACGATACTTGGGACTCGGAAACGGTTTCCTGCTCTCCCTGATCTCCCTGCTCCGCGTGTTGTTCTTCTACGCCTTCCTCGGAGACTCCAGCAACCTCCTCCTCAGCAGCCGTAACTGCATCAGCCGTCAAGGTATTGGATATGCCTTGCTCGGTGGCCGCTTGTGGGACCTCGGATTCAGGCGATTCTTCAGTCTGACCGGCAAGATCATGAGTCGGAGCTTCAACAGCCACAGCATCCTCGCTGCTCGTCTCTACTTCGGCAGCTTGAGCGTCGGCGTCGACAGTTTCGACGCTAGAAGTAGCGATTTCGTTTTCGAGAGCCGTCGCGGCAAGCACGGCGCCATCGTTAGAGTCTGTGGTGAAGTCAAGAGACGGCTCTACTTGAGTCACCTCTGCAATTTGATTATCAGGGTGAAGGTCATGCTCTCCATTTTCCTGGAGAGACACAGCACCCTCTTCTGAAAGTTGGCTTATCGTTGGCCCCGTGAGTTCTGTTGGTACCTCACGGTCGCCCACAACATCATTTGAAAGCACTGACAACGAAGCACCACCATCCTCTACCACGCCAGTGTCTGATTGCGAAATGGATTCTCCCAAGTCTTGCGCATAATCAGGGGTGTCGGGGGAAGGGTTGAGGTTCTCACCTGTCTTCGCATCTGCCTGTTTGTCTTCACCCGGAATCGGTCCGAGGGTGTCTTTACTCTCTTCTTCTTCTTCTGCTGCTCTCGCTTGTTCTTCTGCAGCATCGGGAGCAGCCTCGGGTGGCTGCTCATCGCCGGCAGGGGGCTCTTGATTGTCCGCCTCTGTTTCAGTTGCTGGGACTTCTTGTTCGGGGGTCTCCGCCTCTTCCTTTGTCTCCTCGGTGGCTGGCACTGGCTCGTCTACAAGGGCCTTGTCGGCGTCTGTTGGGGCATCCTCAGTATCGACAGCAGCATCAGCGGGGGCTTCCTCTGCTGCCTTTTCCTCTTCGATAGGCTTATCCTCCTCAGCACTCTTCTCTTCAACAGTTGATTCAGGCTCCTTTACAGGCTCCTCGGCGGGAGCGGCATCCCCAGCAGGTTTGTCTTCGTCTAAAGCAGGCTCGGCGCCTTCAGCCGGGGTTGATTGTTCTTCTGCAGGCTCCGCGGCCCCATCAGGGCCGGCAGCAGTTTCATCGGCATGGTCAGGTTCCGCGGCCGGGGTGCTGCGTCAGCTTCGGCAGTGAGAGCCTTGTCCTCAGGCGTCGTCGCATCCGGGCCCGGTACGGGAGCTGACTCCTCAGTTGCCTCATCGACAGCCGCCTGGGCAGTCTCTTGTTCGTCATTGCCCGCGGGCTCTTGCTCAGCAGCGGCTGTAGGGGCCTCTTCGGGCTGTGGGGCTGCGGAAGGCTCCTCTACTGCCTTTTCTTCCTCAGGTTCCGGGCTAGCCACCGTCTCCTTGGCAGTCTCGGGCACAGGAGCTTCCACGGGCTCCTCAGGGGCTGCTGTTGGTTCGGCGGGGGCAGGGGCTTCCTCAGCGGCAGGGGCCTCCTCGACAACAGGAGTTGCTTCGACAGCAGGAGCTTCCTCAGCGGCAGGGGCTTCCTCAACGGCAGGGGCTTCCTCTACAACAGGAGCTTCTTCGACAACAGGAGCTTCTTCGACAACAGGAGCTTCTTCGACAACAGGAGCTTCTTCGACGGTAGGAGCTTCTTCGACGGCAGGAGCTTTTTCGACAGGAGGTGCCTCCTCAGCAACAGGGCCTTCCTCAGCAGCAGGAACTTCCTCGACAGCAGCGGCTTCTTCGATGACAGGAACTTTTTCGACGACAGGGGCTTCGTCAACGGCAGGGTTCTCATCGGGAGTGGAGACTTCCTCTGGCGCAGCTGGTTCCTCCGTCGCTTCAGCGGAAGGCTGATCCACCGGCAACGAGGTTTCTGCGGCTTCCTCGGGAGCGGGCACCTGCTCGCTGGCCTCAGCATCAGCTACGGCGACAGCTTCAGACGTCTCTTCAGCGGGTTCAGGCTTTTCGTCAGCTTCGACGGGAGCTTCAGCAGCAGCGTCTGCGACCGGGGATTTGGGCTCTCCAGAAGGCTCTACGGTGGGGGCAGCAGGCTCTTCAGTTGGGGTTGCAGCTTCCTTGGCGGGTTCCGTGGGCTCCTCGGCAACTACCAGGGCCTCTTCAGCGGGTGCAGCAGGCTCTTCAGCGGGTGCGGCAGGTTCTTCAGCGGGTGCGGCAGGCTCTTCAGCGGCTGCGGCAGGTTCTTCGGCGGGTGCGGCAGGTTCTTCGACGGGTGCGACAGGTTCTTCGGAAGACTCAGGTGCTTTGACTACCTCACCCTCCTCGGGGGTAGAGTCCTCTGCCTTGGCGGCCGTAGCAGTGTCCTCTAGAGAGTCCGTAGGGGCGGCAGGGGAAGCCTCCTCCCTAGGGCTGGCCCCTTCTTCGGCGGGGACATCCTCGGTAACGGCGGGCTCCTCCTCAGATGGGGTTGGGGTGTCTTCGGTGCCGGCAGCAGCTTCAACGGGTGTAGCATCTTCGGTAGGGACAGCTTTGGGGGCCGCCTCTTCAGTAGGCGGTGCTTCGACGGACTCAGAGACCTCGACTTCTGCCTCCGCAGCAGGAGCAGGAGTTTCAGCTTCGGTCTCGACGAGCTCAGCTGAGCCAGCGCTATCAGCAACCGTAGGCTCATCAGCAGGCTCCTCCGCCCGGGAAACCTCCTCATCAACCTCGGGGGTAGGGTCGGCGGAGTCGGCGGCGGCAACGGCGGTATCTTCCTCCTTGTCTTCATTGACTGGGGCTTCTTCAGGCTCCGACACCGCAGTTTCCCAACTGTCAACCACTCCCTCTCCATCTTCTGTGGCAGCCTCAAGAGCCGCAGTCGGGGCCTCGTCCACGGCCTCAGCTTGTTCCGCAGAGGGCTCGGCCGCTGACGCAGCAGGCTCCTCCTCGACAGCAGTCTCAGCAGGGGCTTCCACCACAGCCTCTTCAGGCTCTGGGGGAGTCCTGGGTGGGAACCTCAATAGGAGCCTCCGGAGCCTGAACGTCATCAAGAGCTTCCTCTTGGGGTTGCGAGCTGTCCTCCTTGACCTCTTGGCTAGACGGCTCATCAGACTCTTCTACGGGCGGTGCCTCGGTAGCGTCTTCCGATCCAAGACCCGGGCTAGTCTCTTCCTCACCCTTAGCTTCTTCATGCGCAGGAGCATCGGTGGCAGGCTGCGGCTCATCTTTAGACTCAGCGGCGACCCCTTCCGATACAGCCACCTCAGAAATCGGATCAGCGGCCTCTTCTATAGTGGTATCTTCAGAAGGCGCGTTCACCGGAGCATCATCGCTCTGTGCCACCTCAACGGGCTCATCGGCGGGTTCAGCTGCAGGTTCCGTCACATCGGCCTTGATAGGGTCCACGGCTTCAGGTTCTGCCTCCACAATCTCTTCGGGGATAGAACTGGCCGGAGGGGCCGCCTCGTTATTATCTTCAGTAGCTTCCGCCGTCGCATCGTCTGTGGGAGGAGACGTTGCTTCTTCAACATCTTCGGGGATGGTTTCGACGGGGTGTCTTCCGGAACCGGATCTTCCGTTTTCTCTGCCGGGGGTCTTCAGCTTCGATAGCCTCTGGCTCTTCGGCCGTCAGCGCTGGCGGTTCTGTTGCCTCCTCAACTGATTTCTCTGGCTCAATGGGCTGTTCTAAGACTTCGGGCTGCTCTGTGTCTTCCAAAGATGAGCTTGGGGAGGTTCGGTCGCGGCAAGACCTCGAGTTTGTGGTACGTCGTCTAGCTTGCCCTTTTTCCCCTTTTTGGCCTTCTTCCCCTTCTTAACAGGGACGGCCCACTCATCCTCTGCCTGTTCTGCCTCCGGTGCAGGAACCTCAGGCGATTCGGCAGTTACCTCCGCCACAGCTTCGGGCGCAACTTCAGGCTCAGGGGCTGCCTGGGGCTCTGGCTCTGGTTCCGAGTCCGCGTATTTACCCTTCTTGGCCTTCTTTGCCTTTTTCCCTTCTTCGTGGGAAGTGCCCACTCATCTTCCTCGGGTGCGGGCGCGGGCGCATCAGCAGGTTCGGGAGTCGCCTCCGATATGGCTTCCGGCTCCGGAGCCGCCTGAATATCTTGATCCGGTTCCGATTTGCCCTTCTTTGCCTTCTTGCCCTTCTTTCCCTTCTTGGTGGGAAGATCCCATTCGTCATTCTCGGGCGCTACAGGAACCGGAGGCTCAGCAGGTTGCTCTGACGGGGCTTCGGGATCTACCGCCACTTCAGGCTCAGGCTCAGGCTCAGGTTCCGGCTCTGCCTCTATGGATTTGGCCTTCTTGCCCTTTTTGGCCTTCTTCCCCTTCTTCATCGGCATCGCCCACTCATCTTCCTCGGCCTCGGGTGGTGGGGCAGATTCAGGAGCGGCTTCAGGTTGAGGGTCGGCCTCAGGTTCAGAAGTAAATTCCATGGCCTTATTTTTGCCCTTCTTCTTCTTCTTTTTCGTTATCGTGAAGGCAGCGAGATCCTCGCCCTCGGCGTCGTTGCCCCTAGAAGTGTAGCAGCGGTATGTAAGTTTTGTGATGCTACGTGTAGAACAAATCCACGACCTCCACGTGTGACTAGGCCAAAAATAAGAACGCACCTGAACCGATAAATTCGTCGCCAGACACTGTTGGCTCGAAATACTGTACATCCCCAATCTCGCCATATTGTACATTATTCTCGACATCCGCCCTGTGAGGGCAGATATCCACGTTTCCAGACATATTCTTCACCCACTCGGCTCGTCCGTGAACTGCTTCGTCCTCTTCCAGCAGGACTTGGGCGTCGGGTTCCAAGGAGAGAAAGAGCGGTCCTTGAGGAAGGAGATATCAATTTGAAAGGGGGTCAGCCTTGACAGACGACCTTATTAAACCCGGCAAAGCACTCCAATAGGGTTGCTTCAGCTGATGTGTCGATTCAAGGGCGTGTCAGTCTCAGAAGATGCAAAGTTAGGGAAGAACGACCCCTCCCCTTGGCAGGAGCTGGGCTGGGGAGCAAGGGAGTGGGAGGACAGTAGGAGAATGGGAGGACTAACAGGGTATAGTGTGCAAAAGAGGGTATCGTGCAGTGGGGTGAAATGCAAGTGAGAACAATGACTGGGGCGATCCAAAAGAAAATAGCCAACGCAGAAAACAAAAATAAAAATAAGAAAAAGATGTTCAAAATCAAATCAAGGGTGGGCGTGGAACAGTAACAGTCGTCAGGGAAGCAGGTTGTCGATTCTTTTCGTTCGTTCCTGCCGTCCGTGAGGTAGGAGGCTGATGGTTGGCCGTGAATATAATTCGATGGCTGAACAAGCTAGGGAAACACCGGTCAATCGTCAAAAGCTTCGTGGCTTCGTTATGCGGTCGTCTCTCGTTGGTCAACGTAAATGCGAGAACCAGGGGAAAACAATACGGAGTCTTCGCGTTCTCGTCAAGCAAGAATCCAAGAATCCCTTTTTTTGTGTGCTCTTCAGAAAAGGTATGAGCAGGAGAGAGAATAGGGAGTCCGTATGCGAGAAAATATCGGGGAGTGAGACTAGAAAAGGCAAGATTCAACAAGTCTGCACTTGCAGCGACTTCCAACGCGCGGGCCCCAAGAGAATTTGCGCTCTTGCAGTGCCAACGCCGGACCGGGGTCCTTGGTACCACCACGACCCTTGACCAGCAGAGCGGAGACCGACCGGGAAGGGTTCTTGGGATGAACAAGGATGCAGACGCCCCCGGAAGCACCAGAAGAAGGCAACAACGATTCCCCTTCCAGCCACAGACGCTGGCCCAGGGCACTCAAGTGATCAACCCCCATGTTATCAAGCCATTGGGCGGCATCAGGGTGCTGGCGCCACGTCAACGATGTCATTGGGCACGGAAACTCGATGCGGAAGGGTTGGGTCTCTGTTTGTGGATCCCCATGTAATTGCAGCCACCACTCGAATAATACCCCGTACAGCTACTTGAGCTATAAGAGTCAATGGAAGTTGGCCGGACGGAGGTCAGGAGGATGGGACCGAGTATTAACTTCGTAGTTGTGGACTTAACCCTCTCGTCTATGCAAATTTTCATACTTGGATGTTAATTGTATAGGGACGATATGAGGACAATCCACCCTGGACGTACGAAGTATTTTCTCTCCTACCCGCCAGCCATCTCGCTCGAAGTCTACGACCACTCCCTCCCTACATGGCGAGGTCGGCCCACCCTGTTACCCACCTTCAAGACGGGCTGCTCAGTCCTCAGCTCGCGTCATAAGAATACATGTCAAGGTGCGTGAATATTCAGGAGCGGTATTGCGCACAATCTTCATCCAACCGAATTCTCTCCGGGCACTGTACAACGTGGGGAGGACCAAGTGGCGGGCACAAAAAGCAGGAAATCACGGAGCATCTCCCAAACATGCTCCGAGGGGGCGGCCACACGAAGAGAGGAAATAACGGAAAACGAAGGGGGTATGCATTAACTTGGAGCACAATTGGCCCGCCAGGCTAAGCCAACGAGGAGCTTCGCGGTGGGGGGCCAGGAGGTGCTGTGTTGTTCAACCACGGATCGACTTCGTGGTTGGATTGGCTCCTTGAAGATGTGATATAATATCAGGCCTCGGCGACGAAGGCGAGTCCATTATTAGCAGAAGGCTTCCCCGTCAGGCCACCAGTTCTATGGGTCCCTTTAATCCCGTGCTTTCGACTTCAAGTATACCCCCATCCCCCTGTCCTCGGTGCTCCAAACAAAGAAACCGGAGGAGAAAGGCGCCAGAGAAAAATTTTCAATGATCATCTCAATAATTATATGGGGGAGAAACATGGGGACAATAACAGAACAAAGATATGCGAGCGAGGACAACGATATCTCAAAAGCGCCGAGGCCAAAGAAATCCAGAGCAGCCTTCCGGTCATCCAAGCCGAATTGGATTCTTGATTGGGCCCAGTGTTGGCTGAGAAGAGTTCAACTCACTGCCACGAAATGTGAGCGGTCCCTGGCAGATTGCCCATTAGGCCTCATTGGGTACAAATCATTTGTCTGAGGGTGCTTGCGAATGTGCATGGCTGGGATATTGGGGTCGGGCGCGAATGGCTGAAGAGCGACGTGGTAATCATGGCAGTTATGGTGGGGATTTCCCCAACTTGTTGGGCCCAGAACACGGGAACTTGCCGCCCCAGACGCACACTCCAAGAGACAGCGAGCGCCATGATTCATCGCCGCCACCCTCGGCTGCATCCATTGCATCCATGGAGCCAAAACGGCAACTTTTTTGCCTCTCTACTTCTCACTCACTCTTTCTCGTTCAGCGCCCGCGGATGTACTTGTATTGACTGGCAGAAGTGGTACGTCTCAGTACCCGTTTCGGCATGCTGGGGTGTATCAATGTCAATGAGCGGTTTTCCTTTGGACGCAGTGGGTTAGTCAGTGTGCAACGTGGCTCGCCTCCAGCAACCTCGTCTGGACGACTCCTGCATATATGCGGCCACTCGCGGCGGGATTTGCAGGCCGACCAGATTGGGGTAACGTGGTGTTGAGCTTGTCAGTGGGGGTGTCTGCCCGAAATGAGATGACATGAGGCATATATCACTTGAGAAGAAGAAAAGAGAACAGGACATGGACTCGTATGAGCCCATCGGCTCGCTCTTTCCTCGATGGCCTTCAAGGAATCGTCCCCAGCCCAGAGGAGACATCTTGGGGATGACGAGGGTCGAGCTCCCTGGCACAAAAGTAAACAAATGAGGGTTGCTAGGCTCAATGTTTTCTCTTGTGGAACTGGGGGCCAGTATGCTAGGGCTATTTTGGCGAAATATGGGTCTTGGTACGGATATTTACCAGGGGTTTGATTAGGGTTGACTAGGGCGTGAACGGTGACTGTTGTCGGATTTGGACGCCAAATCACCGATCAAATGAGCCGTGAACCCACCGCAGGAGGACGAAGTCGAAGTACCATCAAAGTGCCAGTACACTCGACTTTGGACACGAGCGAGGGGCCAGCTCATTCACAGGTTTATTCCAAGTATTCCCAGAGCAGTTCCTCCTCAAGCCATTGGGTCAGCGAGCGTCTGATTCCTTGTGCACTAATACCCGCGCACTAAAAGGGAAGGTCTCCAGGCACAATTCGAGAAGCATCAGAACGTTGAAAGAATACAGGCGAGGCAGACTGAGGATCTTCGCAGGACTCGAGGACTTCAACGGCTTTGTAGACCGATATCCCGCGTAAGAAGATTCAAACTCAACAACGTTGTGGTCTTGCAGCCGCTACGCGGAGAGAAGTGCGCTTTGCGGGATCACACCAGGTCTGTTAAGCTCAGGCAGCCCCCATCTCCACAAGCCTCGGAGGGTAACGGGCTCGGGAAGCCACATCACACTTGGTCATAGGACCCCGTGGAGCATTGGATCATCGGCACGGCGGCGGGTCCCAGGAAGCGCCATTTTGGAGCCAGGGCCAGCCAGGGCCAGCCAAATGCACTCGGTATGGGGGCAATGGAAGGCAAGAGTGATTAATTGATACGTCTGGTGCAGGGTACTGATGAAGACCCCTCATATCGCAGCGGTAATAGATGGGGTAAGAGATATACACGAGATGTACGAGTATCCATCCATTGTTTGATACCAATTGTTGTCATTCCAACGGATGCAATGTGCCCCTGCACTTCGCTCATCCCTTGGGAGTCTACAACTCACAAGGAACCTTGCTAGTGGCTGAAGGCCTTGTGCTCTGCGTGACAGGTTGCTCATCAAATCAAATGGCTGCCAATGACTTGGAAGCATTGAAGGAGGGAGGGTAAGCCTCCAATGTCTCAGAGAAACTAAAGCCGGGAAGGGTTGAAGTCAAATTGTTCGCAGGAGAGCAAGATCAAATCCATGTACATCCGGAGATACTTCAAGATGTAGCGATACTCGTGCTTCATCGCATCAATATCATCCATGCAGTGTTGGGCATCAATGGTCCGTGTCATGCACTATGAGGGGACATCCATGATCCCGAAAGAATTTTGGATCGGAAACGAGATCCCAAATCGAAGGGAAGCATTTTTGGGGGTTTAATTTTTTTAATTTTTTTCCTTTCCCTTACTTCCCAACATTGCACGTAGTATCATCTTCCTGATCGAAGCGACATCCACATGCTGATTGGTGAATTATGAGTTCCCTCAAACCGCATAAGCAACAAATTCCGCATCACTCAAGGGTATCCTAACTTCAGTAACATGTGCCGGTCTCCGATCGCGCCAGAGCCGCTTGCCCTCTTATTAGTAGAAAGACACTCCCTCGGGCGGGAGTGAGCCATCTTAAGCCCAGCCACTAAATATGACAGCCCTTGATATTCAGTGCAAAGAGGCGGTGAGCCATCTCTCCCTGTTTCAAGACGCACAGTATTAAAGAGTGTGGGCAATAGCTGGAGGAGACGCCAGATGTGGCTGGGGAGCATTGTTCACATCGGATTAGATAAAAGTAAACTGCCAAGAAATGGACATGTACAACACCATTCTACAAATCTCAGCCGTGTGACCGCCTCACAGAGTTCACAGCCTTGCGGTCGGTTTGCCGGAAGTGTTCAACATAATACATGTTCACGGTTTGAAAGAACACGTGTGGCATCATGCAGCAGCAGCGCACGAAAGAGTAGCGGCAAAGGGCCCAAGTCTCAGTGCAAGAATCCATTCGTCTAAGTAAATAGTCGCAGAAAGGAACCTATTAACCCCTTCCAACAATTCCTCTGTCCAACACTAGCTTCGCAGGCCCGGCATATCCATCTTGAAAACTATGGTGCCATCGAACATCATATGGCCAGCTATAACAAGAAACCTGCCAAACTCCAACGCCATGGGAAAGTAAAGTCAAACTTGATATTCGGGCGGAAAATAATTAACGGGAAAAATCAATATCGGATAACTGCGATTCAAGGACTCGAACGGGACTCCGCCAGGTCGTGTTAGAGGGGAACCTAGTAAGCCGCCATAGGAGGCCCGTGGCAGCCGACCCCGTCGTGAACGCAAGCAGGATCTAGACAAACTCTTGAGCTCCCTTTGCTGCCAATAGGATGCACAGCGGAACTTTGATGCAATTAAAGGCCATCTCGGCCTGGAGTTTCCTAAGCTCCTCTTCCTCATCGTCTTCCTGGACTGCTTTATCTGGGACTGTTGGGCCATCTCATTAGTTTCCAGCTTAGTTGATGTGATTCGGACGGGGTAGGTCTCATTGACAAGGCACTTACTCTTTCCGTTGGCTACCGTAGGCATCTTGTGAACAGCATCGGATACGGGCACCGTGCCCGTACCGATCATCTGCTCATCAATTGCTCTTGCTGAAGCTGTTCTAGCTCTCGCTCCACATCGCTATCTTCCATCTCTCCTGACAAAGGGTTGCTCGTAATCGCATTAACGATTTCTTCGCTAAGGACATTCTGTTCCCGAAGTCGCTCCCTACAGCACGGCGTTAGTTTACTACTGCAGTCAAGGCTTCACTTCAAGGCTCAGGAAAACATACATAGTTTCGTCAACCTTCTCCGGTGTCAACTTTCCATGAATTTGTTTCATGGCCTCGCCAACCTTCTCCATTGCAGCAAGGGTTTCCCTGTTGATGTTTGCTGATTCTATCGCGTTTATTTGTTGTTCGAGGGTTCCGATCTGCGCCTGGGTCTGCTCGATGGAATGCTCGTGTTGCTTCTTTCTCTTCAAAGCCATCTTGGCCGCTGTGCAAGAATGTGATAGGTTAGTTATGGATCCCTTTATCACCATCCCTAAGAAAATGGGGCTAGCATTGGGGTTGGGGTTAAAGATAGGGGATAGGGGAGAAGGGGGTAGACCGACCATTTTTGTTAGTAGCGACATGCTTCCTTGCGAGGGCGTCTTGTTCGTCTATCTGCTTTTGGATATGCGTCTCTCTTTTCTGCAACATCTCAAGTTGTGACCGGAGACCAAGGATTGCATTTTGGGGCTGTCCTTCCGCTTCTGAGCCGTCGCTCCCCGCCAAACCAGCCCCAGATTCCGGACATATCGCCCAAATCAGTGACTTCGAGTTCGTCTGGGCTCAGGTGCTAAAGGGATCTCAAGGCTCGTGGTCGGGTCGAAGGAAAACACGCGGACGTCGACACGATAGGGAGTGAAGAAGATCAAGTGGCGGGTATTGATGGTGGGGTAAAAATAGGCGGCAATCTGAAGTCGTTGGGACGAGGTTGGCTCTGATTCGACTTCGCTACAGCTACCTCGTGGAACTTGTCAAGAAATACGTATCCTTCGTCGCTATCTAGCAGTCGATTCTCAGAAGCGCCGTCTTCACGACCGGGGGATGCCAGAAAGTCGGTTATGGAATGAATAGCACTCCGAATGTTGTTCCTAGGCAGGTCACGATGGACACTGGCCGATGACGAAGGTTTCCCACCGACTGATATTGTTTTGCCATTATTTATCCGGGATCCCCACTCTTGCACGTGAGAGGCAGATGCTGAGCCGAGCCGGTTTGTTGAAGCCTGGAGATCGATTACGCTGGTGATAACTCGGCTGAGTCATTCCCATAATTTTCTTGAAGCATGCAAGGCCGGCTGGCTTGTTACGACATTAATACTCTTTCAAAAACAATATCTATTTTCACCACCCTAGAAAGAAACAGAAAGAAAGAAGTCGAGAAATGGCATGTTTCAAGAAAGGCTAGACTCAGTCAGGTGACACTGTGATCCGTAGACGTGGATGGTTGTGAGTGAGGCTATCTCACATCACCTCACACGACTGGGCAACCGTACAAATGCCGGTCCCATCTCAACTCTGCTCACTCTCTGATCTTCCAGCCCGGACCATAGGTGATAAGGTCCGATTTCTAGGATGGTATGGACGTTCACTTTGGCTGAATAGCTTCAATGCTAACCCTTGATAAAGCGTTATATCGTACGACGTTGGAACGGCCACCTTGACTCTGGGACATAGGTTCCTTGATGGAAGCCAGGTTCGGGCGTCCGTTGACATGCGCCCGAGGCTCGAGTCGTTAAAGTCCGAGGACACCCGACAGGGGCAGTGGCTTAATGTAATGGGCTACGTTACGTTTATCCGGGCTAGCAACGATGAACAGCTCGTGGGAGTCCAAGCCATCCTTCATTGGGCAGCAGGAGCCGTCGATATCGACAAATACGAAACCGTTGTTGAGCAGGAATCCGCGACTTTAAAATCCATTCCCCCTAAGACCTCGCCCTCGAGATATCTGGTGTCTACAGCGGAGAACCGGCCTTGGCCCATCCCTTCTTTATGGCGACCCCATCACTTGGACACTCTCGTTGCGAGTTCCGGAAGTTGGGAAACTCTCGCCTACCCACCAAGCCCTTAACAGCCAAATTCTCCGCCTTAGTCGCACCTTCCTCCCTTTCTTATTCAAAGGAACCCTTCTTGGCGCCCTCACAATCTTTGTTGGAGGGATATCCATTCTGATATCATTGCAAGATCTCTTAAAGCTGTCTATATCAACGCTATGCCCCCACTAGGGCCTCATGCAGAGAAGGCATTCTCGATTCTATGGGATCTAACTATGTGGTTTCTGTATATTCCTGGCTCATTTATACAAGGGACGCGTAGCACTGAGTACATAGTCCATTTTTGGGCAATATGGCAATACTGTAGCGAAACAACATCCCGTGCCACCAACATACCATACCCCCTCGACGTGGGCAGAAGGGAGCTACCGAGGGTCTAGCGCAAGTTAGAAACGATGAGTATCATTTCCCCGCCCGTTCGATAGCGGGGAGACGTATCGAGGGATCTCGATCACGGGTTGCAGTACTAGGGCAGACCATGTCTATCATTTTATGTTCCGCCGTACCCCAGAACGCCACATCATACAAGGGAACAGTCTAGAACGGTTCTGCGATCCCTCGATATCACTAGACCTCCTAGGTATCTGGAGTGTACCACTAGGACATAACCCTTTGATGGAAATCAATGGGGGAAAAAAAGAAAGAAAAGTAAAGCCATGTCTCCGCTCACATTCTTGCCCTATGTGTCCCTCATCCTTGGAGCTGTTGGTCCTCCGGTTCTTAAAAAACATTTTTAGGGCGGAAGGACATCTAGATCGATGGAGGCTCTAGATTCCGAGCTCCAAAATCGAGGCCATAATTTCAAAGTATCTCTCCTCCCGTCCACTTAGGCTTAGCTTGCGTGTCCCCATTTCCTTGTCAAAGAGCCTGATTTGGTCTTCACTCCGGTCCGAGAACCCTGGAAGTGCGTCGATGGCTCAACGGCCGCCATCCTCCCCGTCTGCGACAGTGGGCACGATCAACCCCTTCGATCGATGCTTCGACCCGAACTACCCGTATCATCGGTAGAAAAGTGAGGGGCCGTTCCGTTGTGATTAGCGAACGGCATAGATCATCCAGTGTTGATGAGGCTGCAGTTGAGCAATGGAAAGGGTTGGGTCGCTGTGCAAGAAGGTAAAGGCAGAAGGACATATCATCTAGATGATCACCAAAAACTAGCTCTCAGTGAACCCTGTCTGTCTCGTCCTTCGTAGCTCTTAATTCAAGAGAGTGGGCTACGTCCCCCTCTGGAAGCACGGCCCCGATATGAAATCACCCACCGAAGTGTGCATCCCAGATATGGCCGAATGCGGAATCACGACCATCCAACCGATGACTGAGGCCACCCTTTTCATTCGTCCCGGCTCTCGCTTCCGATTCGGAACCAAAGGCGGACGGTGTGCGTCCCAGCCACCTCCGCTTTACCTTCGCAGGCACTCTCTAGGCCAGATGGAAGATAAGCTTGCCCTCTTCTTGTGCGACTTCGAGGTTTATTGTGATTCGATGTTGTGAGGCGACTCGACGTGCTAGCTTACAGGATTCGCGATGGTTGTGTATCTTTATACCCTGAACCAACATCCGAAATGAATCCAAGTTGCGGCTTCGTGTGATATTGCCTCGAAAGGCCCACTTGATCCTCGCCTCGCTGCACCTCCCTTTAGACTCGCTGGTGATTGATTGCTGCCAAGCACACTGGTACTGCGTTTACCTGGCTTACCTGGCTTCCCTGGCTTCCCTGGCTACCCGCTCCATTTTACCGGGTGACAAGGGAAACAGAAAAAACTCAATGTTGAGGCCTGACATTGCTCTTGAACCGACTGCTTGGGTCATTTCCAGCCGCCTCGACGGCTGCTATTCCTGGGCCGATATTACAGTTTTATGAAGTCGCACATGGTATACCTTATAATCTGCACTCACGGGGCGGATTTTTGCGGTACCGCAGCGATGGGGAGGGAATCCCTTCACGCCACCAACCTTTTATCCCTCTCTGCTTCGGCGTTGTTGGAGGACGACCAAAATCACAAGGGTGTGCCCGATTTTCAGGCTAAAAAGGGTAGGCCGTTCAGATGCCTTCCTCCCCGATAGCGAACCGCTTTTGCTCGCCCGGGCGTGCCTACTGCAGGGCGTACCGCCCACCGCGCTGCATGACACCATCACGTCGAATTCTAACCACCTCGCGATATCACGGAGCCCTATACCGCGTGTGCAAACAGTCTTGTTGGCGGCGATGCCCACGCCCATCCAAGCCGCTTCCGTGTTTGGGCCTTCAATGAAAGCCTTTCGCAATGTACGAAGCATATACTTGATAACACGGAGCGGGGAACTTTGTTCCCTGATTTAACCCTTCAAGTCATAGCATTTTTTATAGACGAAGGGAAACCTGGGCCGGAGGATGTAGATGGATCCTGGGAGAGTAGAAACACGAAAGGCGACCAATACTCATGCACCCGGTTCGGTGAATTGCATGCTATACGTATCCGCCATGTTTGCCGGCTGATATCAATGCGCATCGTCTAACCTCATCCGATGAACCCTACGAGCTTCTGCCCTCGCTTCAGAAGATAATAACCATCAGACGACGTATCCCACGAACCCGGGACCTTTGCAAGTAGGAAAAGGAAATTAAGCAATATGGTCATCCATATTAAACCAACAGGTTGATGGGTCGAGCACCAAGACTTGTAGCGCGCAGACTGAGCGGGCGAATTGCGAGGTCTGCGCGTGTGATTCCCTTTAAGAAGCAGTAACCGATCTCCACCCTTGACCAGTTCGAACCCAGAGATATCCTTCAACGTGGTTAACGGCTGTTCCAAGTTGTGCTGTGTGAACTTCAGGTCCTTCCTTCCTCGCTATCTCTCTCGCAGCCCTCCAAGCTAAAAATGCAATCCTTTACCTTGCTGATAGCCGTGTTGGCTACGGTATCGCCTGCCTCAGCTCAGCTTAACACACTGGCCAAAGCCGCCGGTCTTTTATATTTCGGAACGGCGGTCGATAATCCAGGCCTTAATAACCAGCAGTACATGTCCATAGCTAGGGACACCAAGGAATTCGGTCAAGTAACTCCCGCGAACGGCCAGAAATGGGATTCCACAGAACGAAGCCAGGGCCAGTTTAGCTACGGAAATGGTGACGCAGTGACTACAGTCGCCAGGCAAGCTGGACAACTTCTCAGGTGTCACACGCTTGTTTGGCATAGCCAGCTTCCTAGCTGGGGTAAGTGATTCTATCGCACTACCTCTCAAATAGAGGCCGAGCAAGTTAACCTGTGGGCTGTGCAGTGAGCAACGGCTTCTCCCGGGATCAAATGGAAAGTGTCATCCGCACTCACATCCAGAATGTCGGTGGCCACTACAAGGGCCAGTGCTACGCCTGGGATGTGGTGAATGAAGCACTTGAAGACAACGGCCAATACCGCCAAAGCCCCATGTACCGTGCTATGGGTGCGGACTTCATCCCTTTTTCCTTCAAGGTCGCCGCCGAGGTCGACCCCAGTGCCAAGCTTTACTACAACGATTACAACATTGAGCACCCCGGTGCTAAGGCCACTGCCGCGCTCGAGATTGTCAAGAACATCAAAGCGCAGGGCGCTCGCATCGACGGAGTCGGAGGCCAGGGCCATTGGATCGTGGGGCAAACACCAAGCAAGCAAGACCTTATGAGTGTGCTTGCATCGTATGCGGCTCTCGTTGACGAGGTGGCGTATACCGAGATTGATATCCGCCACTCCAGTGTCCCTGCAAGCCAGTCTGCCAGGGAACAGCAGGCCAAGGATTACGTTTCCGTCGTTGATGCGTGCTTACAAACGCCGAAGTGTATTGGTATCACAATCTGGGACTTTGCAGACCAGGTAAGCTCATTCGTGAGACGCGCAGCTGCTACACCGGCTTAACCTTGATGCACAAACTTGCCGAGATCTATGCTAACGAAGGCTTTTATTGCCTAACCGCAGTATAGTTGGGTTCCATCAACCTTTAACGGCCAAGGAGAGGCGTGCCTTTGGGACAACAACCTCAACAAGAAGCCTGCCTATACCAGCCTCGTGAACCATTTCCAAAGCGTTGCGTCGCAGAGGGACCTGCCACTACCAGCACTAGCACCACGAGCACCACAAGCTCGTCTACGCGTAAGTACTGCAGGGCTCGCGTCCTCACCCCACCCCAAAACATGCGCCGAGCAGCGTCTAATCTCTCTCCATGGATCTTTAGCAGCCCAAACTACCACTGTTGTGCAGACATCAACCGTCACACTCACGCAAGTCTCTACGGCGACGGCTACAGTTACAGCAATCACCACATCGGTACCGGAGCCGGAAACGGTGGTTACAACATCTGTGTTGACCATTGTGACGACCGTCTCCGACTGCAGCTCTGGGCCGGCCACTTCTGCGTCGGAATCCGCGCTAGAGTCGCCAAGTCACGAGGCGTCAGAGGAGCTCCAGACCACTACGGTAGCGGCGGAACCAACGCAAGCCACTCCCACTCCCGCTCCCGAGACCCGCACCGTCACGGAGGATGTGACAGAGACGGTTACGGCCACATCCGTTTCCACTATCAGGTCTACCATCACTTCATTTACGGACCCCCGCGCCAACAGCTGCACCCGTATCGCTGTATGGCCAATGCGGTGGCACCAGCTGGACGGGATATACTGTGTGCGCCTCAGGGGCTACGTGCCAAGCGCTTAATGACTACTACCACCAGTGTTTGTAAAGGGAGTAAAGGGAGTAAGGGATCAAGGGCGATTACGCAGAATGCTAGAGTCGAATAAAGGGAGGCGCGGCAAGGATCGAGCGGAAGACCAAGTTTTATTGATATCCCGGGTAGGATGGATGTACTGCGCCGACAGAGCGCTGTTAGATGAGATATATACAGCCGGCGACAGGGCTGGTTGGACAGACGTGCAACAAACATCGTTATTCTTCATTGATCGTGGATTGTTTTCAGAACTAGGACTGTCACTTCCCTTGAGACAATATCGGGAAGCGGACTGGTCAAGTCCGAAGGGGCGGCGAGAAGTGCTTGTCTCAGTCGACTCAGCGTCACCCCGTTGGAGTTTTCCGAGCTGAATCGAGGCTTGACTGCGATTTAAGCTCAGCTCAGTTAGCAGGCACATGTCGGCAAACGATGCAAATTAATGTGAGACATGGACCGGACGTCCTCTCTTCAATCCTCACCCCTGGCCAGGCAGCACCAACCAAACCCAAGAATCTGGATGTAGAGTCACGTGTGATGATAGTCATCGGTCTTCAAGTTGCCCCGCCTTCAAGGATGAGGTAATACACCAATTGCTCCTGCACATGGAAGGTTCCATGCCCGCTATTTCCTACGTGCCTGCGGGACCTCGTGCTTTGTATGTATTTTGTAGCGGGGCGCAATTTCCGACCCAATCAAACCCAAAGTGGAATCCCCATCAACGTAATAGCGTGAACGCGTTCACGTCCGCATCCGTCCCACTTTCCTGATGAGCCGAACGAAATTTGTTGACACATGGAAGGTTTTGTGACGAAATCCCCATGCTCCAAGCCAAATTCCGCGATTCTCATGATACCTTCTCTTCGAGGATTAGACGATAATTTAGGACGAAAATCTACGAACATCTAGCTGCCATTTACCTTCGATCTGCTATACTTACCAAGAATAGCAGAGCTTTGTAGGCTTTGCGCCTACGCCGCGACACCGACACCGACGAAAACTGAGCATCGTTAATCAAAAATAGGAGGCCATACCCTGGTCGTTTTTGCAAGGCCCTCCCCGTCTCAGGCACACACACTCTTCCTCACTTCTCATCCCTCAACACGGTTGCCTTTGTGCATTTTCCAAAGAGTTTCCCGACGCGCGATACCTTCTCCTGGACGTTCCCCCCTCAGCAAACAGTAGACCGCGAGATTGAGAATGTCCGGACGAACCAGTGTCGAGTGCCGTGTCACGAATAAATAGGAGACACATATCGCGGGACCCACTGCGGGCTCTACGAACCGCGCCGAATCTTTCCGCCGCCGTTCATTATTCTCGCGCCGATCGATAAACCTCCAAAAGTCTCCCGAGGACTGACCCGGCCTACCAACCCTCGAGACCCATAACCTTAGGACCGATTTAGGTCCGGGAAATATTTTGTCAGGATGGCTCCAGGCGCCCCCGGTGGCGGGGCAACATTAAAGTCGTCGTCCGTTGCCGCCCTTTCAATGGCAGAGGTACGTTTTGGGTAGCGTGGGTGCTTTGCGTCTAGGGCATGGCAGGCTGGCAGGATGGGTTGGGAGCTGTGTGCACATGGCTCTTTGCCTGGTTTCCTATCGTGAAAACGGGGCATTAGAAGGCTAACACTTTCTTTAGAACTCGACCGTGGCGCGAAATGTATCGTCGAAATGAAGGATAACCAAACGGTCATCGTCCCGCCCCCGACCACGATAAAACTGTTAAGGGAGCCAAGGACGCTGGTTCCAAAGTTTTCGCATTTGATAAATCATACTGGTCTTTTTCCCGGGACGATCCCAGCTATGCTGGCCAGTCCAACCTCTTCGATGACCTCGGCAAACCGCTTCTTGATAATGCCTTCCAAGGCTACAACAACTGTATTTTTGCCTACGGCCAGACTGGTTCTGGAAAGTCATACTCGATGATGGGATATGGCAAGGAGGTTGGCATCATCCCTAATATTTGTCAAGACATGTTTCGAAGGATAGGAGAATTGCAAGCAGACAAAACCTTGCGCTGCACCGTAGAGGTCTCATACCTCGAAATTTATAACGAGCGGGTGCGCGATCTGCTTAATCCCGCGACAAAGGGTAATCTCAAAGTCCGAGAACATCCGTCAACAGGCCCTTATGTTGAGGATTTGGCCAAGCTTGCCGTTAGCAGCTTCCAAGAGATCGAACACCTGATGGATGAAGGAAACAAGGCGAGAACGGTGGCGGCCACCAACATGAACGAGACGTCGAGTCGTAGTCATGCCGTCTTCACACTTATGCTCACCCAGAAGAAGTTTGATACCGAAACCAAGATGGAAATGGAGAAGGTGGCCAAGATTAGTCTGGTAGATCTTGCTGGTTCCGAACGTGCGACGTCAACAGGCGCGACCGGCGCTCGACTAAAGGAAGGTGCCGAGATCAACCGATCGCTCTCCACCCTCGGTCGTGTCATCGCCGCTCTCGCGGACCTCTCGACTGGCAAGAAGAAGAAGGGAGCGGGCGGACAGGTGCCGTATCGAGACAGTGTGTTGACATGGCTGCTCAAGGACTCGCTAGGAGGAAACAGTATGACTGCCATGATCGCAGCTATCAGTCCTGCCGACATCAACTACGACGAAACGCTCAGTACTCTTCGCTATGCCGACTCCGCAAAGCGAATTAAGAACCACGCCGTTATAAACGAAGACGCGAATGCCCGCATGATCCGGGAACTCAAGGAAGAGCTCGCCCTCTTGCGTAGTAAACTTGGCGGCGGCGGCAGCGGCGGCGGAGGCGCTGGTGGAACCGTACCTCCTGAAGAAATTTACGCCGAGGGAACGCCCTTGGAGAAGCAATTTGTCACCATCACTACGGCTGATGGCACGTCTAAAAAGGTGTCCAAGGCCGAGATCGCGGAGCAGTTGACGCAAAGCGAGAAACTACTTACCGATCTGAACCAGACTTGGGAGCAGAAGCTAGCCAAGACGGAGGCTATCCACAAGGAGCGCGAGGCGGCGCTCGAGGAACTCGGTATCAGCATTGAGAAGGGTTTCGTCGGACTGAGCACACCCAAAAAGATGCCGCATCTTGTCAACCTGTCCGACGATCCATTGCTAGCGGAGTGTCTGGTGTACAACCTGAAGCCCGGCGTCACAACGGTCGGCAACAAAGAAGCCAATAGCGAACACCAGGTCAACATCCAGCTGAACGGGAGCAACATATTACCGGATCATTGCTCTTTCGAGAATGCGCCAGACGGAACGGTGACGGTGATACCGCAGCCAGACTCCTTGGTCATGGTTAACGGCCAGCGAATTACGGGGCCGAAGCAGCTGCATTCGGGCTACAGGATCATACTCGGCGACTTCCACATCTTTCGATTCAACCACCCGATGGAAGCCAAGGCAGAGCGTGCCGAGCGCGCTGAACTCGGGCAAAGCTTGCTGCGACAGTCGCTCACGGCCAATCAGCTACAAAATTTCGATCTCTCCTCTCCAATCCCAAGCCCGCGACATGGACACGAACGGAGTTACAGCAAGACCTTCTCCGATATAGGTAATAGCCGACCCGCATCGCCTTCGCCATTCCTACGAGGTAGTAGAGAGTCGGATTGGTCCATGGCGAGAAGGGAAGCGGCCGGTGCTATCCTAGGCACGGACCAAAATTTTACCAGCCTCACTGACGAGGAGTTGAATGCCTTGTTCGAGGACGTGCAGAAAGCCCGGGCCGAGCGCGTCAATGTGCGGGAGAACGAGGAAGACTCGGAGTCGGGCACTTCTTATGCATTTCGTGAAAAGTATCTCTCAACCGGCACGATTGACAATTTCTCTCTTGATACCGCGTTGACGATGCCCTCCACACCGAAGCAAGGGGAGGTTGAAGATAGGATGAAGGAAGTCCGGGAAGAGATGCAATCCCAGCTCGATAGGCAGAGGGAAGAGTTTCAAGAACAGCTCAAATTCGCCGAGTCGTCCAACGTCGAGGTTGAGGAAATCAAGAAGGAAAAGGTGCGGATGGAAGAAGCGCTCCAGACGCTCAAGGAGGACATGCAGCAGCAGCTCGAGGCCCAGCGCCAGCAGTTTGAAGAAAAATTGGAAAAGATGGACCCGCTGAAGCGCCCGAGGGCGAACCCAAAGCTCTCCGAGGAGGAGATTGAGCTTGCAAAGCAAGCCGTCACTCAGTGGCGGAGCCGGCGCTATGTCCACATGGCAGAGTCGGTCCTCCAACATGCCTCCATCCTAAAGGAGGCTCAAATTATGAGCAACGAGCTAGAGGAGCAGGTCGTGTTCCAATTTACCGTTATCGACGTCGGCCATGCGATATGCTCCTCATACGACATGGTCCTCAATGGCCTGACGGGCGAAACTGACGATGCTGCGCTAGCGGACGCACCCAAGCCGTGCATTGGCGTGCGGGTAGTCGATTACAAGCATAGTGTTGTCCATCTCTGGAGCTTGGAGAAACTACACGATAGGGTGCGGCAGATGAGGCAAATCTACCAGTATCTCGACCAACCCGAATATGCCAAAGGCGACACGCCTGCGGATAACCCATTCGTAGAACCTTGCATGCCTCAGTTCACGCTCGTCGGCGAGGTTGACGTGCCTCTCAAGGCAGTTTTTGAGAGCCGAGTGCAGGACTTTGCCCTCGAGGTCGTCTCGCCGCACACCTCCCACGCCATCGGCATCATGAAACTTGCGCTGGAGCCCTCGCACGCACGCGCCCCGACCAACACGATCAAGTTCAATGTCGTGATGCAAGAACTTGTCGGATTTGCGGAGCGCGAGGGCACCGAGGTGCACGCGCAGCTCTTTATCCCGGGATTCTCAGAGGAGGACGGCATTACAACGACACAGATGATTAAGGATTTCGACGAGGGTCCCATCCGGTTCGAAAGCATGCATAGCATGAGCATCTCGCTGTTTAGCGCCGAGTCCGCCTCGCTCCGGGTCGCCGTGTATGCCAAGGTGTCCGCCATGCACTTGGACAAGCTCTTGAGCTGGGACGACATGAGGGATGCGGTTCCTACGGTTCAGGGACAGTCCAAGGCTGCAAGGGTTGCGGAATCCCAGTTCTACACTCAGGAGAAGCACGACCTCTTGGCGCGAATCCAAATTTTAGAGATGAACGAGAATGGAGAGTACGTTCCCGTCGACGTGACGCAGACGGGGGATACCGAGCCGGGAATTTTCCAACTCCATCAGGGACTGCAGCGACGCATCGCGATCAACGTCACGCACAGCTCGGGTGACACTTTGTCGTGGGACGATGTTGCGTTGCTGCGCGTAGGCAAGATTCAGCTGATTGACCAGACAGGCAAGGCCACGGACAAAGCGACGGAAGCGAGTTCGGCGCCTTTGGATATATCTCTGAGGCTGCCGACCAAGCCCATTTTTCGCAACAATGCCAACGGCACCAGGAGCATTACGATTTTCGGGCAGTGGGATTCGAGCTTACACGACACGCCGTTCCTCGATCGGGTGACAGCGGAGAAGAGCCGAGTGCAAATGGCGATCTCGTGGGAAATTAGCTCGAGCAAGCTAGCGGAGCCGATGAGGTTCTCGTCCAACGTGTTTTGCCAGATCCTTTCGAGATCGCACGTGCGCCAAGCCTCGATGCTCTCTGCGTTGTGGCAGTCGAGCAAGGTAGTGCATTCGTCGCCCAGCATCTTCACGCTGACGATGCGCCCGGCGCCGATCAAGCGCGTGGGCGACCTCTGGAGGATGGACAGCCAACACGACTATATAAAGGGTGAGGAGCACCTCACATCCTGGACTCCGAGGGGCGTTTCTCTCGTCCTCGACTACGTGGCAGCAGGGAAGAAGAAGACTCTGGTGGCGGAGCTGGCCACAGCACAGAGCGCTATCAGGAAGCTCAAGCTTGCCGAACCGGTTGAGGATGTCGAAGAGGAGGAGGAAGACGAACCGCTGGACCCACCGCCAGCAAAATACTGCGATGACGATCTGCTCATCGACACGCCAGAGGCGTCGCAGACACTTGCCGATGTGCCGGCGGAGGACGAAAGCAGCGATGGGGATCACGACGCTCGCCCCAATGGTATCAAGGAACAGACCAATGGCGAGACGAACGGCATCTCTGCGGAGCTAACAGGACCTGATGAGCAGGATCCCGCGGCGGCCCTCTACACGGACGCGGAGAAGTTGGTCCTTGCCAAGTGCGTGAAACTGTGGCAAAAGTACCCCGACCCCCTACGTCGAATCCTCAGCCCTGAAAATACGGCGCCGCCGGCGGATGGGCTCACGGCGGAGTCCTCAGCGCCGCCCAGTCTCGTCACAGCGGTGATTGGCGTGCCGAAAAACCCAAAGATGCTCAAGAGCGGATACCTTCTCGTGCCCAACAGCGACTCGACGCGGTGGGTCAAGCGCTTTGTAGAGCTACGGAGGCCGTACCTCCACATACACGCGGCGACGGACGGGGAGGAAGTGGCCATTGTGAGCCTTCGTAACTCGCGCGTGGATAGCCAGCCGGGCATCCTCGCGCTCCTCCAGGGGGTACCATACACGACGGCGACATGGAGAGAAGCCAGGGAAGCACGACAGATTTTGTGCCGGGCCACCGACGAACGGCATCAGGGCGGGTGATCTCCACCATTTGGACGGGGACGGGCGGAGGCGGCAGCCCATCATCCAAGACCAAGGGCCAGGGCCTACATCGACTCAGCGAGCGACTACAGTCAGCCGTGTTTGCCATTTACGGGACGGATAACACGTGGCTCTTTGCGGCGCGCAGCGAGAGGGACAAGATGGATTGGATCTTCCGCATCGACCAGAGCTTCCTATCTAACGGGGAGAGTAGCGGTTACGCTAGCCCGATGCCCGGACAGGCGGGCGGTTATCCAGGGAGCGACACAGGAAGCAACATGTGAGAGGGAGAAGAGGAAAGAGGAGGAGGGAGTGATGGAAGCAGAGAACAGAAGGAAAAGGGCAGAACACAATACTGAAAGATGACTTGACTTGCAGGGGTGGATTGAGGATCGAGCACGGAGCGACGACAAAACTTGACGACCTTTCTTTTTTTTTTTTCCCCTTCTTAGAATGGTATTGCCAAACACCCGACTATTTGACCGACTTCTCTTTTGTCATGTCTATGCACTTATTATACCAGGGAGGGAAGAAGAGAGGCCGAGTCCTTTCTCTTCCCATCTCACTTTTCTTGTTCTTGTTTTCCTGTCTCTTTTTTTTGTTGGAGAAGGGGTCGGGGGTCCGTCCCCCTGCCTCCGTTTCCGTTACCATGTCTATACCAAATATCTACCGCTTGCATATCAACCACTTGATGAACATCTTCCATCTCCCATCCTTTTCAACTCTAATTTTTCCTCCTTTCTTTTGTAGTTGGGCTTAAGGCTGATGGAATGAATTCTTTCTCCTTCTCTCTGCTGCTCTTGTTCTTCTGGTTATACCTTTGCGGCTCATTTCCCCTCTGTTAGGACTTGTATGATACCTTGGGCTAGACTGTGGAGAGACAAAGGCACTATTGGGCCCTCTCGATCTCGTGGCCAATAAGGTGATTGGCACTATATTATGTGGTTGGCGTGTCGTTTAGAAATTGTACGAGAGATGCTCTTTTTCTCTTTTCTCTCTTCACCCCAGTACTCCTCCCGCATGTTTCGATAGCCGGGTCATTTTACAGGAAGAAAGAAGGAGAAGGAAAAAGGAAAGGCCCTTTGGATATAGCGAGAGCCATTACGATGAGACACGTGTTTATGAAACGAGAGATTTATCAAGAAGTAAAGTATTTACAGTGTATTATTTATTCTTGTATAAACCAGGGCTTCTAAGCGGTGTATAGACGAAGAGGATTCACCTTTTTCGTTTCCCTTGTATTTCGCTTACTAGGCACTCTAATTCCCAATGATCTGGTTCAGGTCGACGACGCTGAGGCTGACCTTGTTGGAGTCGCTGGGGGCAGGTAGCCGGCGCCGGCGATGATCATGAGGTCGGGCCTGTCCTTGAAGATGCGGAGGTTGCGGGTGTAGGCGCTGGGCTGGGGCACGGCGTGGTACTTCCAAGCGGCGGGGTCGCCGAGGGCCTTGTTGGACCAGACCTCGCCCTGGTAGGCGCTGAGGACGACGGTGCCGTTGGGCCCGCCCCAGGGGTCCAGACGATGTAAGGGCCGGTGGTGGGGGAGCGGCCGTTGGAGGCGACGAGGTGGTCGGGGGCGTCGTGGAACTTGGTGGGGTCCTCGGCGATGCGGTAGTGGATGGGGAAGCGGTAGTCGGAGAAGGCCGGGTCGCCGCCGTACTCGTAGGCGTAGATGTAGCGGCCGTCGGGGAAGCGGGCGACGGAGGGCATGCCGGGGCGGTCGGTGGGGTCGTCGTAGATGATGTCGTGGACGACGTCTGACCAGGCGCGCAGGTCCTGGGTGGTTTGGTGGGAGATGACTTGGCCGTGGCCTTCGGGGCGTTGGTCGGCGTAGTAGAGGATGACGGTGTCCTCGTGCATGCTGGTCTCGGGGTTAGCTTCTCTCGGCTTCCTTTGTTCCGTCTCTCTGTCACAAAAAGAGAAACACTTACATCATGTGCGGTTCCCACACGGGGTCTCCTCGTTGACGGGGATAGCAACGCCGCCGGCAGCAACGTGGCTGACAAACTCCCACGTCCTGCCCTTGTCGCGGGAGGCGTAGACGTCGATCTGGGTTTGGCTCAGGTCGGTGGGGATGCTGTTGCCGGAGCAGATGATGGTGCCGGCGGGGAACTCGCCGACGGCGCGGGGCAGCTCGAAGAGGTCGGGCTGGTACCGGAGCCCCCAGCCGTTGACGGTGTCGTGGACCTGGGAGATCTCCTTCCAGGTCGCGCCGTGGTCGCGGCTCTCGAAGATGGGAAAGTGCACGAGCGGGGGCTCGGGGAGTAGTTCTCCCAGGTGGCGAGCAGGGTGCCGTCGGCCAGTTCGAGGGTGCGGGTGTAGAGCACGCGCGGGTCGGTGAAGTTGGCCTCGGGGGTGAAGATGACCTTGTTGGCGAACGTGGTGTATACGTCGTTGCCGTTTTGCTGCGGGCGGCGGCTGCTGCCTCCGACCTTGGCGGCCACGGGGCTACGTAGGACAGGGCTGCGAGGCCGGCGAGGAGGGTGCGGAGATACATCTCGCTTGTCTTTTTTCTCTTTCCCTTTTGTTCACAACAAGGACGTCAAGGGCGCGGCGAGGGAGATTGAATTGGTGATGGTGATCCTGGGCCGGACCTGGAATAACACCGATAGACACGCTTCGTCACTTGATCTCTCCAAAACAATTACAAAAAAGGAATGCGAATTGGGGCTTCCTCTTATATTATATCCTATAGCACTTCTTCTCTATGGCTCGGTTCCCCAATACCCACATGCCTTCCATGTGCCTCTTGCTCTCTTTTTTGTTCTTTTTAATCTAATCTTGCCCGCATCTCGTCTCCGGCCCAGGCTATAATCGGCGGAATACCAAGAATCTTCCACGTTCCACTCAAACTTGGAGGGTGCCGAGCGGAGCGGGGAAATATCACGGCTGCCATTCGCGCGTCTAAAGACAAGCCCAAAAGAATTAGCGTATTCTCTTTTGTTCTTTGAAGAGCATGGAGAATTGCAACGCTCGAGATCATCTCATCTCGGGTTGGAAGCGAGACGTGCCGCAAAAGACGATGCGGAGATCGAGCGAGGCCTCTGTCCCGTCTCCGTTCTTTTTCCCCAAAGCCAACGCAAGGGTGTGAGGGCGGACGTGCATGTGGCCATGGGCCATGACGCAAACATGGATGGGGAAATCCCCCAATTGAATGAGACATGGCAGAGCCAAAGACGCTAAGGAGGAAAAGAGGGAAAGAAAAGCAACGAAAGGCGCGGGTGTTCTCCAAGATTCCCCTTGCCCCATACAACCTCGTGGCGCGCAGAATGTCCTGAATCGGCATTCCTCCCGATTACGATGCGGGGAACCCGCAGATCTCCCAGGCGCCGCCCCAATTCCAGGGTAGCATCAATCGATCGATCCTCAATCGGCATTGGAGCGGGTAGCCGTCCGGGGGGCCATCGCCATCAGGAAAAACAAACACGCAGAAAAGGGGAGGAAATAGAAAGGCGCAAAGCGAACCAGGCGCGGAGCTAGGGAGAGGCGTGGAGGCGGGGAGGCGCAGACTGCTGTCGTCTCCATCTTGACCTTGCTATTTCCTCGTCTTTTGAATCGACCGCTTAAACGGAGCATTGAATTTGTGGGACGTGGAAAGGCTTGGGGAGTATAGGCACCCGTGAATGGACGGGAAAAGAAATCCGTTCGGGGTATGTGCCATTGTCGTGATTCGCAGGGGTCAAAAGGGCGTCGTCACAGGCAAGACGACTTGGGGAGAAGGGAAGATCAAAAGAAGGTAAGAAGGAAGAGGAACTGAAGATTCGGGGTTCAATAACAAAAGGTAAACAAGATGGCCATGGCATCATGGATTGGATGCATCCAATGCATATGGGTGCTCCAATGTCAAAGGGATTCAGTATCACACCACGCTCCGTGTCTTGATGCCATGCCATCGCATACCACCGCCGTTGCTCTTGTCTCACAGGGATATACCGAGGCCGTGGCCACATGTAGACAGCTTGGGGGAATTTGGACAAATCGAGCTCTTCGTTGTACAAGTGCACACACAGATCGCGATGCCATCATATATACAAGTAAATCTCTTTTACATGGGGGAATCAAGGCGCTCTCATTCTTCGTAGAAACAACAATGCGATCCAATTACCAACACCTTTCTCTTCCTTCCCGTCACCTGTACACCTGCGTCTGCTCCTTGCTAGCGAGCCCTCCGCTCCCGTTTATCCCCGTGGCATCCAGCTCCACGGGATGCGGCGACTTGGCCTCGCCCGCCATCTCGTACACGCGTCCGTACGAGTCCATCTCGGGCTGTTGCGCCCCGTACTCGAGAGGCTTGGGCGTGTTGTTGACCAGCGTCGTCCCGTCGCTCCTCGGCGTCTCCGGATCCATGGGCACCGCTTGGAACTGCCCGCCCTGGCTCTGGCCTCGCCGCTTCCTCCGCCTCAGGAGCATGGCGGCGCCCACGCACGCTGCCACCGCCACCACGCCGCCGACTACGCCGCCCACGATGGGACCAATGTTGCTCGAGCCCTTTTGGATTCCGAGTCCTTGTCCTTGGCGTTTTCCCCTGTCGTATCGCTGTCCGAGTCTGGCAAGATGACGATTGCGGTTAGCTTTTCAAAAGACCTACTTACAAGTGGATTCGAGTGGAAGGGGGAAGAGGGACGAGTGCCATATGAAGGTGTCTTGTACTTACTGGACTTCTCCGACGTAAAGAGCACCTTGACCGCTTCGGACGACCATTCCACCGACGCGAGATCCCTGGAAGAAGCTAGTTAGCAACCGCACAAACCAGGAACCCTTCTTACTTCTATTGACTCCCCGCTCGTCTCTTGGCAAAGTCGCACACGTACCCGTTCTTGTCATACCAATCCTGGACGACTTTGGGTGACTCGTACTCCGCCGCATCGGCCTTGAAATCCGTGCCCCACGAGAGCTCCGTCATGTCGAACACGCCCAGGCCCTGCGGGAACGGGTCCGCCAGCCGGAACGAGTCGCCGCCGCCCAATCTCTTGATGCCCCCACCGTCACCATTTGCCGCTTTCCAGCCACGACGCACACGTGGTCGGTCCGCGCACCGCCTTGCGGGTTATCGAGCTTGGTCCATACGAAGCCGGGGAGCGTGAGCACATAGAGGTCCTCGGCCGTGGATTTGGCAATAGTGTCTTGGCCGCCAAAGACGAATCTGGTCGGGTTGGTTTTCGCCGTCAGTATTGGGTGCATGTGCGAGGAGAGAAAGATATAAAAAAGCAAGGGAAAAAGGGGAGAAAACACCAACAAAAAGATTTGTTCCACTTACATTTCATACGTGCCACCCACGCTCTCCGCCCCAAACACGCACGAATTCTCCCGCGGCGTCGGCGTAGTGCCCGTCGTCATCTGCCAGTACCAATCCTTGGTGACGGGGTCGAAAAAGGTCAGGTTTCTAAAATCGCGGTACGACGTCGGCCCGCCCTCCAGCACCGGCTGCGCCGTGCCGCCAAACACGGCAATCAAGCCGTGGGGGCCGAACCGCGGGACGTACTGGGCCTGGCCGCCGAGGATGGTGCCCTGCTCCGAAACATCGGGGGTGGTGTCGTTGCGAAAGGTCTTGGTCGTCATGTTGAACGAGACCATGCCGGGGACGTTTTGGTTGCTCGCGCGGAAGTTCTGCGTCCAGCCCGAGGCCGAGCCGCCCAGCCAGAAGCCCGTGTTGTGCGCCGTCGTCCACGCCCCGAGCTCCGTGAGCTGGAACCCGTTGTACGCCCCGAGGTTGTCGGGGATCTCCTTGGTCCACGCGCCGCCGCCCTTGCCGTCGGCCACGAACCGCCAAATCTGCTGCGTCGTGAGCATGTTGGTCTCCCGGCCGTGGTTTGAGTGCCCGCCCCAGATGTAAAAGGACTGGCCCTCGCTGTCGGGCCACATGGCTTGGCCGTAGACTTTGGGCGCTTCCTTGGGTATCGATCGGATCTCGACCGTGTCGCTCGACCACGATTTCGACATGTCGATGGAGAGGGTCGAGTTCACTAGAAGAAATAAGTATGGGCATATATGCTATGAACGCTTGCAAAACGAAAGGAGCTAGCTGTTTCTTCTTCGGGGACTAGGCAAAGAGAGTGGCTTACTCGTGATATCGTAGGTATTATAGAGCTCCCCGTCCACGAGCTGCGTGATCTCGCCCCCATCAATATATAGGTAGTCGCCGAGCATGATGGCTATCGCACGAGCATGTTAGCTTGCTTTTGCTTTCCCTTTTTTTTTTTACTTTCTTTTGGCTGTCCTTTAGTGTTGTTTCGATCAATATGTACCTCTAGCAGCAAATCTCCGTAGAAAGTTTTCCACATCAGGAGCATCCGAAGGCTGGGCGACGGCCATCCCTACAAGGGACAGGCCAAGCCAGGAAGCCAACGACGGCCTCATCGTTGCTGAAGACCACGTCTCGAGAGACGATATGAACAAAAGAGTCGCACGCTTTGCAGGTGAGCGATGGGGGGTATCAAAATGACAACAAAAGAAAAAGAGAAAAGGAAATTTCACGGGCTAAACAGCCCCAGAAAGAAAGAAAATGTCGGATGCTTGGCTTGTAAAAAAACGAGAGAGAATGTGCGTGTGTGGGCGAGGGCGAGAAAGAGAGAGAGGGAAGAGCGAGAAACAGTGAGTGACGATGGTGATCAGACAGGCTGCAAGGCAATTCAATCCCGAGCCGTGAGTGCTTGGCCCGGAAATCCTCAAGTGCCAGCGCGAAATAACGTTGCACTGCCAGGTAATGTACGCAGAGGGAGGAGATATAGGCGGATTAGGCAAAAAAGGGAGCCAAAAACAGACACAGAGAGACAGAGAGACAGAGAGCGAGAGAGAGATAGGATGAACGAAGAAAGGAACCGCTAAACAGATGGATGGAGAACAACTGCGCAATGCTGATTCTTCGAGACGCGAACGGGCGAGCAAAACAAAAAAAAGGACAATGAAGGGGGAAATGGAAGAGGATTGAGGGCCGGACCAGGCCTTCTCGAGAGCGCGTGGTCCGGACCAGCAACTTGATGTATAATTCTCCTACAAAGTGATACTTGGCAGCCGTTCGGAACAATCGCTGTTTCCTGTCATCAGGAGGATCTCCATTTTGCGCGGAACCGAGAGAGTCGGGCAAGCCACCCGCTCGTGCATGCAGCCTTCTACCCTTCCACGCATTCCACTGGAGGGCAATGCCCCCGGCCGGGACGAGTGAGACCGGGGAAGGGGAGAGGAGAGAGAGAGGGGGCCAAGCACGGAAATGGGAGGGTGGCCCCAATATCAAGCGTGTTATTCAATACACTTTCACGAGCCAGTCATAGGGCTGTATCTATATACAACGAACTACATAATTCCTCGTGAAGCCGCCTCGCCCGCATCCCTCTGCCACTGCTCGTGGTCTTGGATTGGTGAGGGAGCTTGCCAATTGCCTCTTTCTGGGCCAGGCCCGTCTGAGAAGCGTGTCAAGGCATGCATTGTGTCCGTGTTGGCCAGCCCAGTCCTCAAACCAGCAGGGTCAGCCACATCTCTAAGGACACACACACACGCTCTCTCTCTCTCTCTCTCTCAAAAGACACAGGGGTAAAGGCTTGCCTGGCGCTTGTCTTTAGCAACGGACGCGAACAACCTATCTAGCTAGAGAGCAGTCGCAAAACTGTGTAGAAAATGGTCCTTCATTGTCGCCCATTGTCGCCGGGCCAGGCGGGTTACATCTTGGGACAACGGAAAGTCCTCATCTCGACGCGGCCCGCAGGGTAGGACTTGACCCATCAATCATACCTGGTGCCCCGTCCTAGACGTTGGGCCACAAATTAACCTCAGGATGACTGGCCGTGATCGACACTCGTGCTGAATCCTTTAGGATAACCGAGAGGGAGAGAGGCGGAACCCTCCCCTCTGCGCTGGAGGGCGAGCCAAGTCATCCTTCCCGCGGACCTCCTTTTCTCCATGCATTGAATTATTGAAACCATGGGGCGTCTCTACCTGTAGCTGGTGGGCGGTTCCAAAATTCCAAAAAAAAGAAAAGAGAAAAATAACAATTCGTCGTCTAATTTTTGCAGATAAATCGGGAAGAAAGCCTCGATGAGCGATTGAGCGACTTTGGGGGCACCGGCATCATTGATTCTTTTTTGGGGTCCACGCCTCATAGGGCTAAATCACTGGCGCTGCCTGGATCCTTGATCCTGTCAAGTCTTGATATTCTTTGGGGGCTGCTGCTGCGCCATCGAAGGATAAAAAAGACGGGGTGAAGTCGACCCATTCCCAACGGTGGATTGATATTGATGTTTGGTACTTCGGACATGCAATATGCAGCCATCGCCTGTGCTTGTCATCCATGGATCAATGATCAATACGAATCCACCTGAGTATTGCCCGAGTTAGCGCGGAGTCCAGCCACGCAACCCTTCAACAGCCACGCATCCCCTGCACCTTCAGTGGTTAGCAGCCCAAACCACGCCTCCGCCCACGAGTCCACTGAAGACGGGGACCACTACTATATACTATCGTATGTACCAGTGTTAGCTCTCGCGTGTATCACGTGATACCGCGAGCTGCGCCGGCGCGAAAATTCAAGCAAGGGAAAAATTATTGAACGAGATGGAGAGAGCTGGAGTACCTGTATTATATTATTTATTCCTACTTGCAAGCTCTAGTGCGTCGCTAAGCAAGCTGCCATAAGCTCACCCCGCAAACTCGACCCAACTCCACCACACCTCTCCTTCTCCCAGTCCGGATCTGCCCACCTGAAATGGGGCCGGTATGAATAGGTTCCTCGTCCGTTCACTATGGCGGCGGCCCTTGAGCCCGGCTCTGCCCTGGTATCAAACGCCCCAATTCCTCCGCCATGCGAGCACTGGTAACGGCTAACCCCACGAATCCCCTCCCCCTCCCCTCTCCTCCAGAAACTAACACGAAAGCCCTCTTTTAATAGACACCGCCACGGCCCTCCCCCGGCCCTCCTCCAGCGCGCCCGCGACCTAACCTCCGAGCACGCCCGCCTCGCCGCCTCCCTCTCCGACGCATTCGACACCAAGACAGCCAAGCGCGTCGGCGAGCTCTCCCTCGTCGCCGCCGCCCTCGCCGAGTTCGACGCCGCCCACGACTCCCTCGCCGAGCTCCGCGGCCTCCTCTCCTCCCCAGACGCCGAGCTGCGCCAACTCGCCGTCGACGAGCTCGACGCCACCACCCGCGACGCCGAGGCCCTCGTGCACAAGCTCACCGCCGCCCTCACCCCGCGCCACCCCTTTGCCGACATGCCCTGCCTGCTCGAGTTCCGCCCCGGGCCCGGCGGCCTCGAGGGCCGCTACTTCACCGACTCCCTGTTCCGCATGTACAAGCAGTACCTGTCCCGCCACGGGTTTCGCGTGCGCGTCGTCAAGTACGAGCTCGCCGACTCGGCCGGCGACTCCACCGGCGCCGCCAAGGAGAATCCCCTCCAGGAAGCCATCCTCGAGGTCGAGGACCCGGGCTCCTACGACTTGCTGCGCGGCGAGGCCGGCATGCACCGCGTCCAGCGTATTCCCGTCACCGAGAGCAAGGGCCGCACCCACACCTCGGCCGTCGCCCTCTGGGTCCTCCCTTCTTTCCCCGAGAGCAATGCCGAGGAAGCCGACTTTGACGACCCGGAGAGCATCTTCTACATCAACCCCGCCGAAGTCAAGCAAGAGGTCATGCGCGCCCGCGGCGCCGGCGGCCAACACGTCAACAAGACCGAGTCTGCCGTGCGGCTGACCCATATTCCGACGGGCACCACCGTCAGCATGCAGGACTCGCGGTCCCAGGTCCGGAACCGCGCCTCGGCGTGGCAGCTCCTGCGCTCCAGGGTCGCCCAGCAGAGGAGGGAGGAGCGCGAGGAGCTCGCCTTTAGCTTGAGGAACAGCGTGCTGGCCAAGGACAAGATTACGAGGGCCGACAAGATCCGCACCTACAATTACTCTCAGGACAGGTGTACGGATCACAGGAGCGGCCTAGACGTGCACAATCTCCCCGACGTTTTAGAAGGCGGGGAAACTCTCGATAGGGTGATTAAGAGCGTCAGAGAGTGGCTGGTGGCAAGGGACATCCGTGCCATGATGGCCGAAGAGGACGCCAAGGCCAACCCCGAGAGCGGCGAGAAGAAGGCTTGAGAGAACACGGCGGTCAACGAACAAGAAGGGACACGAAACTAAAAGGTTAGAACCAAGCCATACGCGTTGGAACTTGGAAAAGGGAAGGGCGACTCTCTGTACAATAGATGCATGTATATATATTAACTCAACGACGCACACCCAAAGGCACAAGATAGAAAACTAGAAATAGTTGCATTTGTATCCAAACGAAATGAGACTCTGCATATTATTCCACCTCGGTTGAACAAGTCCCCTAGAACAAGAAACGAAAAAAAAAAAAAGAGACAAAAAACCCAGAAAAACCTCTCCCACCTTCAAACAGCAAAACCCGCCAGTCTTCACCCTCCAGTCCCCACCAGCCAGACTCCTCTTCTTCACCCCCACCCTGCGCCAGCGCGCGATACTCCTCCGGCATCTCAGGCCACACATCCACCCCATCCAGCACCACGACCTGCATGCCCCCGACGAGGTGCTGCAGGACGTGGCAGTGGAGCAGCCAAGCACCCGGGTTCCTCGAGTGGTACCTCAGCGCCATCCACGCCGACTCCTGGCCCGCCGCGAGCCCGACCCTCAGGGACGTGAAGCCATCCTTGAGCGGGGGTCGACGAGGTTAAACGCCGCCGGGTTCTGCGCCGCCGCCTCCTCCACGCTCGACCAGGTCCACGGCCCGTAGCCGACCCCGAGCAAGTGCATCTTGACACCGTGCTTGTGGATCGGGTGCGCCGGGTTCGGCGACGCGTGCGTCACGAGCACGAGGTCCACCCACGTGTCGTTGGCCGTGGCCACGGTAAGGTTGACCGCCGGCTGCGGGTCGAGCAGGAACGGCACCCGGTCCTCGAGGCTCGCGGACTCGAGGGGCGTCGAGTTCATCGACCAAATGTACGCCGGCTGCGCGTTGCCCATCTGCAGCACGTGCGTCGCGTTGGCCGTCCGCGGCACCGCGACGGCTGGGTACGGTTTCGCCCACGTCTGGGCGTAAAACACCACGTCGGCCGACGTCGGCCTCCCCGCGTCGTTGATGTAGGGTGCCGGCGGGCGCGGGTCGTCGTCCCCCGGCGGCCACCCCGCCAATCTCAACGTCGAGCGTCGCGTGGCCGACGATGATTTGCGGATCGTTGACCGACGCCACGCGGATGGCGAACTGGCCCGCCCTGTTCGCCTGGACCAGGACCGAGTACCGCTCCCCGTTGGTGACGGTGAGGGCCTGCACCTGCCGCGGCTCGACGTAGCCCCCGTCCACGGCGTACACCCACATGGGGTGCTCGTCGATGGAGACGGCGGCCGTGAGGGACTGGAAGGCCCCGATGAAGTGGAGCGCTACCCAGCTCTCGTCGGCGCAGCTCGATCGGTGGCGCACGCGCACCACTTCTTGGGTGCCTTCGGTCGCTTGGCATTCTTCAAACATGTGGTGGGGGACCGCGCTGCCGTTTCCGCGGCCGTTCCAGGCGAGGGCCATGAGCTGCGGCGGGTAACATCTAAGCGGCTCCGAGGTTAAGCGCGGTGTCCATCACTTTTCTTTTTTTGCATCTCCTTGTGTCAACAGGAAGCGGGAAGATTGGCACTCACCCTTTGCTCGTCATGGTGACATTCATCCGCCCCAACTGCGTCCTCTGCAAGTCACTAAGAAGACTATCGATATTGCTCGGGTCCGGGCACGTCACCTTGCCCTTGCCGTTAATCAGGATCGAGTCCCAGCACGCGGGGTCCAGCTCGGCCAGCTGCGTAATCTCCCAAGCCTCGTCCCCCGTCGTGTTCCTGAAATCGGAAAGCAGCAGCGCGTGCGCCGACCGGTCGGCGGCGTCCATGGCTTTCACCGCGAGCGCGCGGGTGCTGATCTCGCCAAAGGGCTTCGGCGCGTCGGGGTAAGGGTCGACGACGAGGGCCCCAAAGAGGCCGTCCTCGATCTGGTGGCGGGAGTGGGAGTGGTACCAGTAGCTCCCGTGTATGGTCGCCGTCCACCGGTAGGTAAACGAGTGACCTCGCGGGATCGGTCGTTGACTTACACCGGGTGCGCCGTCGGACCACGGGCTGCCTAGCATCTCGATGCCTTTTGGGGGTGAGGAAGAGAAATGTTTTAGCCAATTCCTCAGAAGCTTCATAGAGAACAAGGCCTTGTTCTACCGCGTGCCACTACCTACCGTGAAAATGGATGCTCGTGATATCGTCAATGTGATTCTCGACCTCCACGACAACGTGATCGCCCTGGGATACCTTCAACGTGGGCGCTGGAAACTGGCCATTCACCAGTATCACCTGGCGAGAGTGACCGTTGGGAGCCCACGGCCCCCGCGTCAGTGAGAGCTTGAAGGTACGGGTCTCTTGCCCGAGAACCCGGGCCACGAGGGCCACCCATATCAATATGGTATAGAGAGTGTCCCAGCGAGTCATTGTCGAAGGACCAAAGGTATATCTCAACGGGGGAAAAGGTGGCTCTTGTTCGGGTTTACCCTTTTACCTTTGTAAAGATGCGACGCACTCAGGGCCTATAAGATTCGCCACGCGGGTCTAGGCCAGAGAGCATCCTCCTCGTAGGTTTTCCTCGAGAGTGGAAGAAGACGATGAGGCAAATGACTCCAGGGACTTTTTATACAACCTCTACCCACATTGCCGATGGCATAAGATAAAGCAGAAGAAGACAACAACAAAAACAAAAAGATGGGCAAGTGCATGCACTCTTGGCATGCGTTTCTTGTGATCCACGACAGCAACATTCCCCAGCAATCGCTGGCAGCGGGCTACGTGCTTGGGCTTACTGCCGTGCTCCTCTCCTCGACCGAGATATACGACTTCTGTTGGGTGTCCAGCACGTCCCTCAAGGCCTCGGTTGCTCAAGAGCAGGGATAGGAAAGTCCTTTTTCATTTGCTTTTCATATACGCCTCGGAAGCCGACAGAACAGAGACAGAGGCTCGCGATAACGACACCTCAAGATGCGGAGAATGTGGTGGCGTCGTTGGTGGTTTCTCGCCTTGGTCTCGAGGCTTGTTTTTTTGGGCTCACCCACCCTCCCCATGGAGCCTCATTCTCTTTCCTGGGTCCGAACCCTCATGGTAGAGGCGCCGACGGATGTCACAGCGATGCTCACGCGGCCCCTCGCCCACCTGGCTGCATCGCACAACAGCAACACATGCGCGTATACCATGTTACCTTTGCCTTGCTCTGCGTGAACGAGGCGAAAACCAGATGCACTTGTCCCTCTCTTCATTTGAACTCGGACGGAGGTCCTCAGCTAAGAGGCCGGGTCTGTTCCCGCTCCACTGATTTCCATCGTCTCGCCGGGTCGCCGAGGGTAAATAGGCGAGGATTATAGGCCATGACACAAAAACAACCCATTTAGGAAGGGTTTGTATTATTCGTGTTGGTTGTAGAACACAGAAAAAGAAACCCTTTCCACGCACAGGAGTCCCGAGCAAGGTCAATATCAACATCACGCTGACATTTCAGCCACGGAGGCTTGCAGGGATTCTCTTAGGTTTACATCCGTACCGTACCCCACGTTGGGAGGCCTTGCTTGTCAGTGTCTCAGACCTGAAGCGAGAGGCAAGGGAGATGAACAAGGGCAAAGATTTGTTCGAAGGGCGAAGGTTAGAGGGAGAGTAAGACGGGGGAAAAAACCAAGGCGGACATTTATTTTCAACTAACAACCGGGAGAAACGCAAGGTGTGGGAAGGGTCGGTTTCCATCCCAATCTACATGTGCCGTCTTTGCAGGCCAAGGCCAAGGCCGGGGGTGATCAATTGATGTTGAAATTCTTCTGCCTTGGTAATTCGGCTGCCTGGCCCCAACTCACACCAGCTTGCAGGTCAATCGCTTGGAGGCGCTCTTGATTTTGTTTTGAATCCAGGTCCCAGCACACCGCTTACTCAGGCAGCAGGATTAAAGAAGTTGACTTGAACAAAGATTTAAGCTGATGATCCTGATGATCGGGAATTGGTTTTGTCTTTTTGTGGAATATATAGTTTTCTGTTTGATCTTGATATTTAGTCCTCGTCGGAATTGTGTCCTCTTTCTTAAGACTGGTGTCCTGTCAACAGACTCAAACGTGCCCCTCCCCATTTCCGTGTCTGGGCTCACATCCCACCATCGCCCTGCTCCCACTTACACGGAAATCCACATTGAACCCTTCTCTCCCGTTTTGCCCCCCTCACATTACGGCCATCAAATCACACAACAATCCCTCAGTAGACCATAGATCACAGCCAGTATGGCAACGACCGCACTAGCACCTCTAGATGTCAGCATGGCAACACCTTGCCTAGATATTCCACCCGCTACGTGGGGCACACTCTCACCCTCAACCTCAACACTCCCACCACTTCCAGCACCCACCCCGGCACCACCCTCCCGCCTCCAATTCTCCTCCCTACCCCTCGAGATCCGCGACCTCATCTGGGAACACACCCTCCCACCCCCGCGCCTATTCCACGTCCGCCAATTCCACCGCTTCGGCCCCTCCCTCGACGCCAGCGAGAACCTCGCCGAAGCCGAAGCCGAGGCCGAAGAAGAACAAGAAGAAGAAGAGGCCAACGCCAACGGCCACGCCCACACCCACGCCGACAGAGCAACGCCCCCTTCCCCCGGCGCAGCATCGTAGAAGACTTCCTCCAGCGCCGCCTCCAGCACCAACCCTCCGCCCCCGAACCGGCCGCCGCATCGCCGATTCCGCCTCTCCTACCCGGCCCCCTCGCCACCCAAATCTGCGCCGAGTCGCGCCGCGCCGCCCGCCGCGCTGGCTTCGAGCTCCTACCCGCCTCCACCACCAACGGCGGGCCCGGCCAACCCCCATCCGCCTCTGGTTCAACCCCGCGCCGACATCGTCTACATCGACCGCAGCCTGCGGACCACGCTCGTCCACGAGCGCGGCCAGCCCGAATTCGCCGTCGTGGGCTTCGAGCGCGTCCAGCACGTCGCCGTCGAGTGGCGCTGGGTCACCAGCAACGGCTCCGTGCCCCTCGGCAACTACGCGGACCAGCCCATGCTCGACCTCCTCGGCCAGAGGGTGGCTTCCCTCTACGCTTACATGCCCGCCCTCGCCACCCTCCACTACATCCTGCCCCTGGTCCGGTATCAAGGGGCATCCCCTTTGGGCGCGAGCCCGCCGGTGCCTCCGCCCTCAGCTGCGACCTCGTCGACCTGCCCCCGCGCATCACCATCCCTCTCGAGAGCGGCCACCGCCCGTGGGGCGATGTGCGTGATGCGCTCGTCAATGCCATCAGCGCCGAGTCCAGCGTCCAATATTGGCTCCGCTGCTTCGGCGACCGCGGCTCCTATCCCCCAACATTGTCGGACACTGGCTTGTCCGCCATGGTCTAGACAGAAAATACTTTACTCCGTCCATTCGCGAGTTTACCTGGTGATGGATGCATGGGTGTACTAGGATGCATGCAAAAATAAGAAGAAAAAGAGTCCCCAGTCAATCTATGCAATGATGTGGTAGTCATCTGGAGTCAACTGGCGTATGTACGATAGTAATGCTGCCTCTACGAGTAATATCATATGAGTAAATAAACAAGTCCATCAACATCCACACACACACACACACACACACACACACACGCAGACGCACATGCACACACATACACACGTTCCCACTTCCTCAAGTGATTCCATAACTACACATTTCCCACTAGTGATCAATCCGACGGCTCTTTCCGTATAGCCTCAATACCCGTACTTCGCTCGCCCACACCTCACCAACAAACCTCATCCACTGCCAGCCGAGATCACTACTCCTACCTCCTGTTCGTATAACCAACCCGCCGTCGCCTCCAGCGGCCAGGTGCACCGTAGTGCACCGTAAGCCGTGGCCCCTTCAATCAGTGACGACCGAACAAGAGCAACCGCTGAGCCCCCTTGACCTCCCCCGGCTCCGTGTGACGGAGCCAGGGCCACACGACAGGTCTCGCTCCTCGCGGTAATCAAGTAATGAAGCAATGAAATCTTTTGTGATGATCTTGGCCAATCCACTTCCACCCGGTGACGATGTAAGCCGCCGAATTTTGTGGAGCCCCTCGTGCATAAACGAAGCTGCTGTGACACGCAAACTCCCCGAGCCTCATGCCCCCTTCATCCCCTTCATCCCCTCCATTGCCTCCCCTCACCCTTGTCCGATTCTTGTTGATCGGTGTAACTTACTGTCCATCTCCCCTGCGGAACCACTTACCCGATTTGCGCTTCCCTTCTTCCCTTCTTTGCTCCGCCCCCAAATTCGAGTCCGATACGATGCTACCCCGAGCCAATACTCCGTCATTGGTCACGTTGTCCTCCTCATCGTTTCTCTCTTCCCCAGCATCTCGCTCTTCTTCTGCCTCTTTAACCAGGTTCTCTTCATCGGAGTTCCACATTTACCATCGCGCTAGCTTATTCCATCCAACTTGATCATGACTTGTCAATGTAGGCGTAGATGTAACAGTGCACTCCCAAAGAGAAGAAGAAAAGAAAGGAAGGCAAGCAAGCAAGTTCTCCCAAAATATACGCCCATTCAGACTTGGACGGCTCTCTCGTTTGTCTCCTGCATCCGTCCTCCGTTCTCCGCATCTGCGGCTATTGTCTTAGCAAATCCACTTCAAGGCACTAAAGAATGCCCTGTCTTACTGTCATCTACTCCCTAGATAACTAGACTGAGCTCAACGGAACCTCGCCGCGCCTATCAAGCTTGTCCACTTGGTAGTTTGGTGTTAGATGTATTGAATGATCGCTGAGACAGGCCGCATATTTCTGATTCTATTCACCATTTCGGAATGACATGTGCTCCATTATCTCCTGTATTGCTTTCCCCGGTTTGTTTAGCCGCGACCCGTGTCAAGTGAGTTCAATGTTCAATGTTGTTTAAGCCTGCTCCACATCAGCAACCTTCACATCCGTTTCGTCCTCTACAGCGTCACGTCTTGAGCCAAAAGGTGTTGTGCATTTAATTTGTATTTTAGCTACTTATAAAACTTGAAAGTTGTCCACCCCCTTTCGACCCATGCTCAAACGTAGCGTAGCTGCTACAGTTCTTGCTAGAGCCGAGTTCGCATTTCTCATAAACCAAATTCCAACCCCACAGATCCCCTTGCGTATTCAGCGTTGTTGCGTATGACGAAAAGAGAAGAGAGAAACGGAAGGAAAACTAGGCCCCGAGCGCTCGGGATATTGCGGCGAGGTGCATGACCCCGGGCGTCCGGCCTGGGATTGCCTAGTGTTGGTTTGGTCGCAAAGGAAACATGGAAAAAACCCTGCTTAAGAGATGCAAAGAAAAGGCGAGCAAATATCAAATCTGCCGATGCCACCATTCCTGGTTGCCGGGAGTTCCACCCTGGCCGGCCTGTCGTCAAGTCGAGAACAGAGAAGAGGTAGATAAGAAAAAGTGAATCCCTGGTGTAATAAAAATACGAAAGGAAAAGAAAAAACAAAGCCTTCCAAGACTGCTCGCCTTTCCCCTTTTCCATGGTATATTCGTCAAAAAGCTTACCCTCCGCCGTCTAAGCAAAGAAGTTCAAGAAGGAGAAAGAATGTCAGAGAGAACGGTATTCTCACCCTCGAGGGATGTTGAAAAGAAGAAAAATGCGTGTCAGAAGTTCAGCGCGCCACGCCCAGGGTATGGAAGAGGCAGCCGCACGTAAAGTGCGCGCGATCAACCAAGTCGTTGCATCTCCCAAAAATTTGGGCGAGGTTCCTTGGGTCCAAGAATAAGAAATAATAATCGGCAACGGAAGCGACGAATTGTGACATCGGATTGGAGGATGGGGTTTGCGGCTCGGAACAGAGAAAGCGATATTCGACATCGGCACGTTCCTGTAAGCGGCTGGCGGACCAAGAAGCGAGCGCGAAGTTGTAACCATCTATGCGCAGTCTGAAACAGCTCCAACAAGATAAAATTGAACAAGAAGGGCAAAATCTGTGGAGAATGAACGTAACGTCGAGAAACCGTGAAAGTCGTAATAGAAAGGTCAAGAAAATAGGGAAAAGGATATTGAAGGAGAGACGAGAAGAGGACATTGATACACCAATAGCCTACGCTACAATGGTAGGTCCGCCCCTTGTGAGAACCAGTCTAGGCGCCTTGCGCTGTCCGTCGGGACCTTGGCTCGCCTTGTCGCCTTGAGCAGCCTTGAAAACGCTCGCAAAGCTGCCGTCGTTCTCATCTCCACTGTCACGAACCTTCTCCCGAGAGGAAGGACGATCCGAGCCAATCGCACCCCAGCCACCGCTGGCCGAAGTCCGTGAGCTAGGGAAGCAAGACTCCACCTCGCCAGACAGACTCCCGGAACCGCTACGTCCAGACTCAGATTCGTTGTCCGTGATGGGCGTCTCGGATTCTGCAGCGCTCTCGAAACGGGGCTCATACTACCCGTGGAGCTACCCGTGCCCTTGCGTCGCTCCTTGCCAGCGCGGACGAGATTGTGCACAGCGGATCGGCGAGTTCGGGCAGCAAAATTCTTGCTCCCTTCGTGCCTGGCCGTGGGCTTGGAAGACAGCTCGTCGAAGGAGGGAGGGCCACGAGGTTGACGGACGGGATGCTCGCCGGCACGGGCCTGACCCGGTCCATAGCCCCCAGTGAGCGGAGTCAGGGGAAGACAGCTGTCTTGGGAGCCTTCTGGGCATCGCTGATATTGACCGAGAGCCCGGTCGTGTTTACCGCCGATGCAGTCTTCTTATGACCGCGACGGAAGGCGTTGGCTGACGGGGAGGGAGAGGAGCATGCTCGGAAGGCGACTCGTAGCGCTTGGGGGCGAGTTGCTCCTGAAACCGGTAGGCGTCGCCTCGGGAGGCGGCGAGACTTGGACGCGGGGAGCGTTGGCCATTTGATGCTGAAGCTGCTGCTGCTGCTGGAGTTGCTGCTGTTGCAATTGCTGAAGCTGCTGGAGTTGTTGGAGTTGCTGGAGCTGCTGAAGCTGTTGCTGCTGCTGCTGCTGAAGCGCGGCGTATTGCGAGAACTGGCTTTGGTCCAGATACTGGGCGCCGGCACTCTGATCAACGACATACGTGGGCTGGCCCGTGGTGGGGTCAATGAAGGCATAAACGTTGGGCTGAGAGCCGGACACGCTACGACCTTGTGCCTGGGCGTACATGGCAAGCTGCTGCTGCTGGAGCTGCTGCTGGAGTTGTTGACCAATGGCAAGGCCTTGGAACTGCTGGGCGGCAGCCTGAACGTCGCGGAGCTGCTGCTGAAGGCGCTGCTGCTGCTGGGCCAGGTAGCTGTTGGTGGCAACAAGCTGGGCATACATGGAGGGGTCCATCTGTTCTTGCATGAGCGGGTCAAATTGAAGCTCTGGCGGAGCCAGAACCTGCTCAGCAGTGTACTGCTGGCTCATATGCATAAGGGCGTTGAAGGGTGCCGGTTGCTGTTGCTGCTGTTGCTGCTGCTGCTGCTGCTGAGCCGGCTTCTGGGCCTGTTGCGGCTGCGGCTGCTGCTGTTGCTGGGTCGCATAGCGGGGCAGAGCAGTCTTCGGACCAGCGTAGGCATCCTGGGCAGCGCTATAATTGGCTGATGCTTTGGCAAACTGCTGGTGCGTCTGGTGGCCCATAGAAGTTTGCGAGGCGGGGAAGGACGTGGCCGTCGCAGTCTTGGGGGCAGTCCGCAGTCCGGCCAAGAGGTGTGAGCGACTGGTGCGGGGAGTCGGGGCGCCATTATCCTTATTATCCGGCGACGCATTGATGGCATCAAAGGAAAGAGGCTTGATGTTCTGGCCGCCACGGCGGGAAGCGAGACCAGAGCCGGGCATACCGAGTCCGTTTGAGGCAAAGTTGTTGGAAGTCATTTTGAGCTGGGAGACCACCTGTGTCGGGAGCTCAAGAAAATTTAAGGGAAAAAGAAAACCGAAGTCTATCAAATGAGACGATTGGCAGCGAAGAGGCCAAATGAAATGCTGAAAAGGCTGGTTGAGAGGAATGAAGGTAAAAAGGAGAAAAAAGGCAAAGAGCGTGCCGGATGGCGAAAATTACAATGTTCGAGTATTATGTTTGTGAATCGCGGGTTTTGTAACGCGTTGGAGTGCAGAGCAGCTCGTCGATGTGAGCTCGTGAGTGGGAGCGTGTTGCTGCAGGGGTGCAAAGAGTGGCGCGATGGAGCGAATCCAAGTCCAAGAGGAAGAAAACACTCAGTTCTTGAGGCTGGGTGAAAAGAAGAAAGCCAGTCGGCTATTGATGAATCGGACAAAAGGCTAATCGGTTCAAGCCGAGGACGAGGAAGGCGTGGCTTTGTCGATGCGTCAGTGCGCCGCCGGCAGAGCAAGAGAAGTTCAGAAGAGGAATGATCTCTCAAGCACTCGGGGTATCGAGGTGGGATGACGGAAGGTGCGTTCGACGGTGTGGAGGTACGAGGTTTGGGCTAGGCGCGATCGAGAGTTGTAACCGTTGTAGATTGTGAGGCGATTGGCGAGGATTTGCTGTCGGCGATGCGAGAATTAAGAGTTATCGAGTCGTTTTTGTATTGTACGAGCGAGAAACGAGGCTGAGAAAAAGATGCAGAATTCCAGATCAATTGTACAGAGGATTAAAACAGGGTCAAGCTGCTTTTAGGGGCGGGTTTCGGCCAGGACTGAAGATAAACTTGCTTCGTCGTCGAATGATCCCGTGGTGTTTGCTTTCGAATGTATTCAGGAGGATGGAGGGAGAAAACCACTCTTCGTTCAAGATCGCAGTCTGTTCGTTGTGGGCGATGGGCGAGAATTTCGGCGAACCGGGGGCGCGAAAGTTTAGAAAAGAATGATGGAAGAGAAGAAAAAGAAAAAGAAAGAAAGAGAAGCAATGGTTCGACAGAGAATGCAGATCTTTTGAGGATTTTTGGCGTTTCTGGTGGATTTGAGAGGAGATCTGACTCTAAACGACAACAACCACGAACGGGGGCAGCGGCGAGCAAGAGAGAGAGAGGGGGAGGGAATGAAAGGCTAAGGAAGGAGGGGAAAGAAGAAGGGTTGAAAGGAGATGAAGGGCGGTGTGGTGAGAAGGAGAAGGAGAAATGAAGGGGATGCGAAAGGTTGGACGAGATGGATCTGTGGAGGTGGAGGGTGTTCGGCCCAGACACGCTAAAGAGTGACTGAACGGGGACAGTGGGAGTGACGGGAGTGGATGGGGAACATTGAATCGATCTTTAGGGGGCGTGTACCAAGGACCTCCCATCCGGGCACCCAAGCACGGAGGAGCAAAGTGAGCGAGTGGGTGACGAATAGCAGCGCGCAGATCGAGTCGGCGTCGCGGTTTTCCTGTGGGAAGAGCGTGGTGTGCGAATCACTCAAAGGGCTGACCAATCAGAGACGCGTAGTGTCTGGCCACCCGCCCAGGAGAGCAGCAGCCTGCAGGTATCAGGTACAAGCACCGCAAAAGCGCGTGCCTTTGGGCCTGTCTGCTGTCCGCCTCCAACCAGAGTGTATCCGACAATAGCAACACTCGCCCCACCACACCATCGATGGCTCCTCTCCCTGCCTGCGAGGTGGCAAGTACAGGTAGGCAAGTAGGGTAGGGCAAGGGCAATACCGAGGTGGCAGAGCCCACGTCGTTCCTCTCTCTATCCCAGGATAGATTTTGCTCGGCTAAAGACCTCTCCAGGGAACGGGTTGCCTTTGTGGGTGGAACAACCTCTCTCTCCTGCAAGGTCTTAAAAGCGATATCATTGCCCGTCTACGGAGTGACCACCTATTTTTGAATTATGTTCACGTTGACACCAGCACTCGCAGGGCACCACCTAGTTGTGCAGTGCCATCAAGCTTACCACACACACACAATACGGGATGGGCACGCAATGTGAACCGGAACATCGTCGCAAACTCAGGTTGTGAGTGGTTCGATTGGCAGGCTACCCCTTAGGGACCGAGTCGGGCTCGGGCGGGGGTCGCTTGGGCCACGGTCAACCAATCAAAGGGCTCAACACCACGAGAGATCAAAGGGTCAGGTGCGTCACGTCCCCAGGTGCCGCTCCATGATGTTGTACCGTGCGAAATCCTGACTAGAGCTATTTGATCCGATCTCCTTTTGGCCTGGCCGGGGAGGGTATGCATGCCAGGGGTCTCGCTCTTCGTCCTGGTTCTATATGTGGAAAAGTTATCGACATGCTCCACTCAATGAGGAAAATCTCAGACAAGTAACCAGGCACCACTCCCCTTGGACTCCTCGCACCCCTGACCCATTCCCCAAGACGGAGAAAAGACTGAGGGACTGGACCTTGATCCCTTGTCAGGTTACCATCTCCTCAACTTCAACTTTCCTACAAGCACGAAGTACCTGTACCCTGTACCCTTGAGCGGAGAAATTGAAGCTTCGCAGGGAGCGGAAGCCTTCATGCTCTTTCTCCCCATGCGCCCTCGGTTCCCCTTCCATCTCCACCCTTCGCAAGTTTGAAGTAATACAACAATGAAGGACCTTGGACAAGGCTAGCCACGGCCTCGCCTTTTCTACTCAAGGAGGAAAGAGTAGATACAAAATATCGACCATCTTCACCAGTTTGCTCTCCTGCTTGAGAACTTCTTCTCGGGCTTATTGATCAAATCCTTCTATCGTCAACTTCGCATCCTCAATTTCGCTCCCTTCCACGCTCCACCTTCGTGCGCTCATAGGACCAAGATTTTTTCCCCTTAGAGCAAGCGTCCAAGGTGGACAAATCAAACTCCCGCATTAGACTCGAGGTTTTATGGGTCCCTCACCCTCAGTAGCGCATCACAAGCTTCCTTCACCCCTCATTCTCGCTCTCTCCCCTTTTTCCTTCTTTTTTTTTTTGTTGATGCCCAATGCTCTGGTACCCGAATAAAACTACGAGAGATTACTGGATGAACGGGAAGTAATCCACTTCAACTTGAGTGATCATGAGGATGGATGTTGAACGATGATAAGACAGACAAGAAGAAGAAAATAGAGGCAAGGGAGAGGAGCGGACGGGCCGATCCCACCCTCGCCGCATCTTGCCTTGGGAACATGCACATCATTTGCCCCAAACTGAGCTTCTAGAGCATGAGATGAGTGTGAACAAAATTATTGACTGCATGAATGACTTCCTGCCAGTGCCGTAAATCATCGATCCTCCATGGTGGTGGCGACGGGGCAGCGACGGAGAGGAAAGGGAAAACCTGGCATTGACCTTTGGGTGCGGCATTGATCGCCATAATGCTCAGTCAAGTGGTGGGCCTCGAACGGAATGGAACCTCTTTTGCTCTCCCCTTCTTGTCTTCCTACCTTGTCATACTGCGCGTGTCGGGTATGTACTCGATACCTTTTTTCTCGAGGTGGTCGCACACAAATTGATGGACCCATCACGAGCCCGCCCGTCCTTTGCTCGGCCATCCCAGCTCTTCCTTTCAGGGGGTGCGTTTGTTTCATCTATAAAAAAATTTGTTTCCTCGCTCTCCTGACCAGAGATTCCACGAAAGAAAAAAGACGCCAGGGCATCAGCCAAGCCAGGTCCCGTAATATCACAGGCAATGCTACCTCACTTTTCGTACAGCCTCCGTGGCGTCGAGGGAGGGGTACCTCCATGAATCTCCCGCCGCCGTAACTCATGCATTCACTGTATAAATCTGTTACCCAAATGGGGCAAGGCTGTGCCAGCTTGATCACAGCAATTGAAATTTTATCTCCGCACCACTATGAACGCTTGTGGGCCAAGATTGACACCAATTGAGGGTGCGTTTAAGATCAAACACAATTGATCAACTTGAGCCTTGCGCGCGTGTTGCGGCTCTTCAAGATGCTACACGTAATTGACGGTTTCGTCCATCCATAGATGGCCCGGCCGTGTTTGTCAAAGAACGACGTCCAGAGGAGTCGACGCCGATTGAATTAGACACATCAACCAGTTGACGAGAGGTGATGCAGTTTGCTCCCATGGACGAAAGAATTCCGCCATAATTCCGGTAGCGACTTTTCAGGTTCGCAACCCACATTCACCTCTAGCTTAGCTCTGCTTGTAGGGTTCACGGGCCCCGGCGATGGCACCTTCCTACGCCTCTCTGTTCCATCTCTTGGAGGGCGTTCGTCAGGTTACATGATTCTTCTCTGCCATTTCCGATGCGGCAACCCTCCAACTGGTCAATCCCGAAAGGGATTTGAGGCCTCGGGCAGGGAGAGAAGTAATGGCTACTATCATGGCACATCATCAAACTAATCATTGGAAATTTCAATGAATGGATGTAACAAATCAATGATTTTTGATAAAGTGATGCGAAGTGATCGTTGATACTCGGCTGTTTTTTCCAAGGTTCAATCACTTGGGCGGGAGAAAAGAGCGCCGGCAACTGCTTGGGATTATTCCGCACGATGTCTCTTCACTGTGACCTTTTGCCGTTTTTGGGCGATGAATGGCACGTCCTCGACCCCTTAAACAGGACGACGACATTACGCACATCAATGCTGAGACAGCATCAGATCCTCCAAACCCCCAGAGTCCGTGTGTCGGGCGCCTTTCCCGGTTCCCCTTATCCCCCTTCCCCTTCCCCTTCGCCTCTAGCATCGCCTCTTTACCTCTCGCATTACCTCTCGCATCGCCTTCAGTGTTGGTCTCTCTGTCACAAGGGACACTCTCAAAAAGAGCCTCTCCCGGACTAGCCGCCCGAACCCGTTGAAGCCGGTACCTGAGATGCTAATACCGGATTGATCAAATTGGAGGGGTCTGGATCTCCAGTGCCTTGATACCTTTACCTTGGCGGAGAACCTGGTACAAGTCCAGGGTCTCTTTTCTGGAGCGACCACTTCCTTTTGGGGAGACATCTTTGATCTGACCCTGCATATGCCAGGGGCGCAAGTCTCAAAACCCCCATCTCGAGGGTGAGACCCG